AAGTGCTGTGTCACATCCTAGCCAAAACCAATACGACCAGACTGGAATCATATGCTTTCACTCCAGATGTATTGGTAAGAAATGCTCAAAATAAACCTCAGGATTGTAAACTTCTAGAAGAGATGAGATAATATGTCAAATAACAATTAGTCGTTTTTCGCTGTCATATGCCAAACTATTTAGGCTCCTTTTCCTCACCCCCTCTCTGTTTATTTTGCCATGGGGAGGTATAGAGTGATCTACACATTTTCTCACTACTATTCCCTATTCCCACCTGAACTGACCACCTTGTTATCCCTCCTCACACACATTTCATCATCCTTGGAGGGAGATAAGTGTGTGTGTGAGACACAGTTCGACTAATCGTTGTTGTCAGACATTCTCAGTGGTGTAAAGTACTTGAGTAAAAATACTTTAAAGTACTAAAGTCGTTTTTTGGGGGGTAACTGTACAATACTTTACTATTTCTATTTTTGACAACTTTTACTTTTACTTCACTACATTCCTATAGAAAATAATGTACTTTCTACTCCATACATTTTCCCTGACACCCAAAAGTACTCGTTACATTTTGAATGCTTAGCAGGACAGAAAATGTTTCAATTCATACACTTTTCAAGAAAACAACTCTGGTCATCCCTACTGCCTCTATCTGGCAGACTCACTTAGCACATGCTTTGTTTGTAAATTATGTCTGAGTGTTGGAGTGTGCCCCTGGCTATCTGTAAATTTAAAAAACAAGAAAATTGTGTGGTCTGGTTTGCTTTTGCTTTTGATACTTAAGTATATTTTAGCAATTACATTTACTTTTGATACTTAAGTATATTTAAAACCAAATACAGTATTTTACTGAGTGACTTTCACTTTTACTTGAGTCATTTTCTATTAAAGTATCTTTACTTTTACTCAAGTATGACAATTGGGTACTTTTTCCACCACTGGACATACTCCAGTTTGTCCTGATATACAGTTTGCTTACATTTCAGGTTTAGAGTGAAGCTTTTAGAGAGTCATATGATAGCTATGTAAATAAACCACAATATCTGATGGTAAGGAGAATGGCAATGCACTGGGTAAGCAAACAGCTCTCACAGTCTCACGTCAGAATTAGACGTTCACCATGTTTCTCAAACGTCAAATTTTGAAGTGTTTAAGGTTAAGTTCAGGCATTAACTCCACATTCTTAAGGTTAGGCATTAACTCAGAATGGTTAAGGTAAGGGTTAAGGTTTCGGATAGGCTTAAAACAAAAATATCAAAAACAACTTTTTATCGCTTTACGCCCATCCGCCATCCCTGTCCACAACACCAGCAAAACTGAAACCTATTTGAAGGTAAAAGCGCTCACTGTTGCCCCTAGTGGCCGGTTTCCACGTCATCTCCCGACGTCCTCAGACATGGATGGACGTCGAATACTGACTTGTATCACGGGTGACCTGGCTGTGGGTAAGAGAGGTTTACCTAGAACAGATGGGGGCAAGAGAGAGGTAGAAGGAGAGGTAGAGAGAGAGAGTGGGGTGAATATGGTAGAACTATTTAATTGTTTTTGTCACATGCGCCGAATACAACATCTTAACCATGAAATACTTGCTTATGAGCCCTTCCCAACGATTCAGAGTTTTTAAAAAACATAATAAAAATAAAAATAGTAACACAAGAGGAATAAAATACACAAGAATAGAGCTATGTACAGGGAGTACCAGTACCAGATCAATGAGGTATTTGAGGTAGATATGTACATGAAGGCAGGGTAAAGTGACTAGGCATCAGGATAAATAATAATAAGAGTAAAATAAAGAACAGAGTAGCAGCAGCATATGATGATTGTAAAAGTGTAGGTGTGTGTGTGTGTGCGTGCGTGTTTGGGTTGTGTCAGTATGCGTGTGTGTTTGTTTGTGTGTGTGTGTGTGTTTCTGTTGTTGGTATGCGTGTGTGTGTGTTAGTGTGTGTGTGTGTGTGTGTGTATGTAGTGTATGTGAATGTTTTGTGTGAGAGTGTCAGTGTGTGTGAGTATATATGTGTATATAGTGTGTATATATAGTCTTCTGAGTGTGCATGGAGTCAGTGCAAGATAGGGTCAGTGCAGATAGTCTGTGTAACCGTTTAATTAACTATTTAGCACTCTTATGGCTATTTAGCAGTCTTATGGCTTGGGGGTAGAAGCTGTCTCGGAGTCTGTTGGTCCGAGAGCCGAAGCTCCGGTACCATTTGCCGGACAGTAGCAGAGTGAACAGTCTATGGCTTGGGTGGCTGGAGAGAGAGAAACCTCTGATACAAAGAGGGAAAGAGAGAGATTAGGGAATGAGAGAGGACCCCTGCCTGGTAGAGGAGACGGAGAGAGGACCCCTGCCTGGTAGAGGAGACGGAGAGAGGGAACGAGGGAGTCAGGCATGTGGCTAATTCTCTCTCCAGCCCCTTGCTGATGAGATAAATGGTGTCTGTTTTTCTTTTAATAAATGGTCTTATTTTGTGTTCCCTCCATACTCCCCCACTCACCCCTACAGAGTTTCATATCTCTCAAAACCATAAGTTCATAGAAGCATATACTGTATATGTCTTCCTCCTCCCATTCCCCTGTACTTTACAAGAGCTACAGTAAGGGACACAGTTCAGAGCTCGCCTGGCACAATAGGCAACATTGTTATACATAACAACTACATTGGTTTTGTGTGTGTTTTGTGTGTGTGTGTATTTGTGTGTATGTTTGTGTACGACCGCTGAAATATTTGGGTCCTTCATACTCACAATTAGTCATTGTTGATCCAAATAATTGTTCAAGTGTGTGTGTGTGTATTTGTGCTTCTGTGTATTTGTATATTTACGTTTACGTGTGTATGTGTGTGTGTTTGACTGCAGATTGGTCTCTTTGAACTTGCTGAAGTGTTAGAGATTTATGGACGACACATACATGCACACACACTCGTTAATGCAACATTGCCCTCTCATTGATGACCCTCCACAGCGGTGTGGGAATGTTTCCATGTGTTTATGTGGTGAGAAGGGGTTGTTTGTGTGTGTGTGTGAGAGAGAGAGCCTCCCACCCCCCTTTGACTGCTGGTGTTCAATGTTGATTGTAGAAGGTCACTGGTTGCCCCAGGGATGTTAGAATGACCTATGACTGAGTTAAATATAACACAAATAATTAGACATTTAGCAATGACCCGCTATAGCGGGAAATATCATTGACTTGTAGACCTGCATTTAACTGCTGCTGTGCTGCTTGAATGAGATATTGTTTAGCTGTAGTAGAGAGCCTTACTTCCTTCTCTTGAAGATTTGTTTTTATTTCACAAAAGAAACACTATGCAGAGCACAAAAGAGTCATAGGTTTGCCAACGGTTTGCCAAATGTTTACTAAGACGTTTGAGTAAAGTCTAGCATCACACATTTATACATGTTGTCTTGAAATAGCCCAGTTTTAGCAGAGCCGAATGTTACTGTTGTAAATTGTTTTCTGTGCGTGTTTTTACAGTTTGGCAGCATTGTGTGTTACTATAAGTGTCATAAAGTTGTATTAAGGTTTCAAAGAGTGTCATCGACTGTTCTCCCTCTGGCTACTTCCCCATATTACTAAGGGAAGATATAACTAACTGAAACACTCTGGAAGGTTGTCTGGATGTTTGGAACGTGTTCTTCTTGTGGAGAGTTATGGTAAGAGGAGGAACTATACTTATGTTCTTTTTTCAGGGGTCAAATTATGAATTTAGTAGGTCGGGGAGCCCTATTTGGAGGGGTTAGGTTAAGGGTTTAGTCAGATTGAACATAAGGCTAGGGTTAGGGTTATGTCAAGATAAAGATTAGGGTTGGTGTTACAGCTGTAAGTACAATGCATTATCAGTCAGGAGGAGGGTTAGGTTGTTAGTCATTATCAGTCAGGTAAGTGAATGCATTTGATTGTAGAGGTCTAGGGTTTTGGTTAAGCTTAAGTTAATGCATGATCATCTAGGGTTAGGGTACAGCTGTAATAAATGTATTATCAGTCAGTTGTTAGGTAGGGTTAGGGTTAGTCAAGTATAAAAAATGGGTTAGGGTTTAGGGTTAAGGGTACACGGGGAAAAGTTTTTCAGTGGGGTTTTCACGAAGTTTGTTTTTTTTGGGTTTTTGGGGGAAAGCTGTAAAAAAAAGGGGTCAGTCTAGGGGTTGGGGTTTGGGTAAAAGCTGTTTCATGATCAGTCAGGGTTGGGTTTTGTTAATAAAGAAATCTGGGGGTTTGGGTTAGGGTTAAATTAAGTAAAAATGATATAGGGGTTTGGGGTTGGGTAAAGGGGATGTAGTTAGGGGGAGGGTTTTTAGGTAGTTTATTTTATTATCTTTTTATTTTCCTTAATCCTTTTGCGTGGGAGGTTAGGGATCCGTAGGTAGTTTGGGTTTTTTTCCTTTACAATTTTTCTCTTTTTTACACTTTTTAAATCTTTTGTATCAGGGTTTGGGAGGGAACACTTCTTTTCGTTTTTTTCACTTTTGACTTATTCAGTCTTTTTTTTAGGGTCACTTCAATCGTTATTTTGGGGTTTTTCCCCTTTGACTGTTTTTCCATTAGGGTTATTTTCCTTAAAAAGATGACGTCTAGGGGGGGCACTTAAAACTTTTTTCAAATTAAGCTGTCATTTTTTATTTTTCCTGTAAGTAAAAGCAATTTTTCTTTGGGGTTTTTTCACTTGGTTTAAAAAAGCATTCATTTTTATTTTCCGGTTTTGTAAAAGAGAAGTTAATTGGGGAGGACCCTGAATAAAGGTTTTTAGCAGGGTTAGGGTTTTTTCCTTTAATTAAGAAAAACAGGGGGGGATAAAAAGGGAGAAAGAAAAGGGGTTTTTTTCCCCGTTTAAAAAAGACAGTTGGGTTTAAGGAGGGTTAAAGGAAGTAAAATTGCGGCGGTTGGGGTTTTTTAGCGGGTACAAGCTTTTATCTGGGTTTTTAAAACGAAAAAAAAACAAAAAAAACTTTTAAATACAAGAAACACATTCCCAAATTTTACCAATTTTTTAAACCTTCCCACCCAAAATGGGGGACCCTCAGGGTGGAGTAAATTTTCCTTTTTTTCTTCTAACTCTTCTTCTCTCTCTCCTTTTCATCTGTCTCACTTTCTTTTGCTCTCCTCTCCATCTTTATGACTGTTTCACTCTCTCCCTTCCTCTCTCCATCTTTATGACTGTCTCACTCTCCTTCCTTCTCATCTTGACTGTTCTCTCATCTTATGACTGTCTACTCTCTCCATCTTATGACTCTCCTCTCTCCATTTGTATGTCACTCTCTCTCTATCCCTCACTCTCTCCATCTTTATGACTGTCTCACTCTCTCCATCTTTATGACTCTCTCACTCTCTCCATCTTATGACTGTCTCACTCTCTCCATCTTTATGACTGTCTAACTCTCTCTCTTCCACTCTCCGTCTAACCTAAGCCATCTCCATTGTCACAACTCTCATCTCATCTCATGTTCACTCATCACACTGCAGGAAAGAGTATACTTTTTTGTTCAGAGCAAGCAGCCTCTGAGATCATAGCAACTAGGCTGTTTAAGACCAAGCAATGTAGACTTTATTTCATTGAGAATTAAAGAAAGACAGAACGAAGGAGGAGGAATGGAGGGAGGGTGGGGAAAGAACAAGCGTTTTGAAAATTGCCGTTGGCCCCCACCCAAGACCCAGTCGTTGTGGTAATGAGGGGTTAGGAGCTACGTTATTGCTCCCAGATGCCGTGCTGGTTTTCTCCAGCCTTTGATGCGAGCCTGTCACCAGCACTTTTCAATCTGCCTTCACACACACACACACACACACACACACACACACACACACACACACACACACACACGCACACACACACACGCACACATCATAGAGTATACAAGTGCAAACACACATACACACACTGGTCCAACACACATACACACACTGGTCCAACACACATACAGCTGGGCTTTGGGAGTAGTTCTGGGTGTAAGGAGGTTGGATCTGGTTCGGGAGTGTGTGGCTTTTCAGACAACATAAGGTCAGAAAGGTTGTTCCTTTAAGAGTTGTGTGTGTGCATGTATACAGTACATTTGCGTGTGTATGTATGTACGTGTACTTTTGTCTGTGCACCTCTGTATGCGTCTGTGCTCACGTGTGTGTGTGTGTGTGTCTTGAAGGGAACATTTGTGTGAGGCTCTTGTTTGGATTACCCAAGCGGGGGCTGGAGGGGACGTGAAGTGTGTTTATGAATCCAACGTGAACTTCCTCTGGCTTTATAATTAGGCTGGTATTCCTCACAAGCAAAACAAAACAATGGAACGCATTTCAACTCGCTCTGTGGTCTGTTGGATAAGTTTATACATACCTAGCATCAACATGTTCTCTGGCCAGAGTGAGGTTTTAGGAAAGGGCTGGGTGTGTTGGTGTCTTAGGTGAGTAAGAAGTTCTCACACACTCGCTGAGCTGAATTAATCATTTACAGAAGTGTTTGTCCGTCTCTGCTCACATGTGTAGACTGTCATAGAATAGTGTTTGTGTGTACGTGTGTTTGTCTGACCTAAAAGTGTGTCCCGTGCTGCCGAGCTGACTTTGCTGGTTTTATAGGAACATGTGGAGAATCACTCAGTCTGTCTGCAGTCTCCCTCAGTCTCTACTGGGAGATGGAAGGAGGAGAGGGAGAGGGGGAGTCATACGTCTCTCCCGACACACAGTAGTGCAGCCTCCCCTCTCACCCTCTGATGGCTTCCTTGTGTGTGTGTGTGTGTGTGTGTGTGTGTGTGTGTGTGTGTGTGTGTGTGTGTGTGTGTGTGTGTGTGTGTGTGTGTGTGTGTGAGTTATAGCAGTCTGTCTGAGTGATTAAGTGCAGCGTGAATCCTCAGAGTGCAGTGTGTTAGTCTGAGGCTGTGTCTATGGGGCCATACATGGCTCAGTGCCCACTCTATGTCACTCTGGCTCTTCCTCTTTTCCTCACACTCCTCCGTCTCCCTCCATCCCACTCCCACACATCCACCTCTCTGGCCTATCTCTTGTACTTCTCTTTTACCCCACCTTTCCAGTTTGTGCTACTCTGTTTCTTTCTCTCTCTCTCTGTCGCTCTGTCTTTCATCCCCTGCTCTCTTTCATTCCTGCTCTCTCTGCCTCTCTCCTCCCTTCCCTCCCTCCCTCTCCTCACTTTTCCCTCTTTTTTTTCACTGGCCAGGGGAAAGGAAAATGTGTGAGTCAGTGAAAGGCCACACCCTCGCTGGGAGAGATGGAGAGAAAGAGAGAATGAGAGAGAGTAGAGGGAGGACTGGGACTCCTTTAGTGTGGTGATGTCACCCTCTGGTGTCCATGGTAACCGCTTATTTAGTCTCCGGTAGTGGACACCTGGGCACACTAACTAGGCCTGTTGATCGTCACTCCACAGTGGTGTGTGTGTATGTCCGTCCTAAGGGGAATGTAACCATTTGACTGTGCAGGCCTGAACCCCTTTGATGAGGGGAGGTTGGTTATGGTGTACACTGTATGTAAAGGGAAAGGCTGGGCAGAATGGGAAGGGAAGGGCCGTGGTTGGACACGTTTCTAAAGTTTAAGAGAAACTGTGCTTGTCCATAGCCATAGGGGAGTCTGTGTCTTTTGGGGTAGAGCATAGCCACACACACACAGACACTGGGTGGGATGGATCACTTTAGTAACAGTTGGTTCTGAAGCTCAGTGGAGTGTGACCACAGGGTGTGTGTTACACTACTCGTCTGCCCAGTTCTGGGTCTTAGCGCTTGGCTCAGTTCTGTGGGTCACATCCCTTGATTCTGGGTGTCTTTAAGCTGGCTTTCTGAGCTTTGCTCTCTCTCTCTCTCTCTTCTCATATCTGCTCTCTCTTCTATCTATCCTCTCTCTCTTATCTGATCTCTATTCTCGAATGCTCTCTCCTATATCTATACTATCTCTCTACTCTCTCTCTCTCTCTCTCCTCATCTCTCCTCTCTCTCTCTCTCTCTCTCCTCTACTCTCCTCTCTCTCTCTCTCTCTCTCTCTCTTAATCTAAAAACAAATGATATGTGGATTCAAGTCTCCAACTCTCCAACCAAATATAAAAAGGGATCAAGCCAGTGGCTCAGATGGAATATCCAAGCAGTAGTTAGGCCTACATATCCTTTCAATGTTGATACAGTGCCTTGCAAAATTATTCATCCCCCTTGGCATTTTTCCTATTTTGTTGCATTACAACCTGTAGTTTAAATGGATTTTTATTTGGATTTCATGTAATGGACATACACAAATTAGTCCAAATTGGTGAAGTGAAATGAAAAAAATAACTTATTTCAATAAATTCTAAAAAATAAATAACGGAAAAGTGGTGCGTGCATATGTATTCACCCCCTTTGCTATGAAGCCCCTAAATAATATCTTGTTCAACCAATTACCTTCAGAAGTCACATAATTAGTTAAAGAAAGTCCACCTGTGTGCAATCTAAGTATAACATGATCTGTCACATGATCTCAGTATATATGCACCTGTTCTGAAAGGCCCCAGAGTTTGCAACACCACTAAGCAAGGGGCACCAACAAGCAAGCGGCACCATGAAGACCAAGGAGCTCTCCAAACAGGTCAGGGACAAAGTTGTGGAGAAGTACAGATCAGGGTTGGGTTCTAAAAAAATATCTGAAACTTTGAACATCCCACGGAGCACCATTAAATCCATTATTAAAAAATGGAAAGAATATGGCACCACAACAAACCTGCCAAGAGAGGGCCGCCCACCAAAACTCACGGACCAGGCAAGGAGGGCATTAATCAGAGAGGCAACAAAGAGACCAAAGTTAACCCTGAAGGAGCTGCAAAGCTCCACAGCGGAGATTGGAGTATCTGTCCATAGGCCCACTTTAAGCCGTACACTCCACAGAGCTGAGCTTTACGGAAGAGTGGGCAGAAAAAAAGCCATTGCTTAAAGAAAAAAATAAGCAAACACGTTTGGTGTTCGGCAAAAGCCATGTGGGAGACTCCCCAAACATATGGAAGAACATCTCCTTCACTCTGGTCAGATGACTAAAATTGAACTTTTTGGCCATCAAGGAAAACGCTATATCTGGCGCAAACCCAACACATCTCATCACCCCGAGAACACCATCCCCACAGTGAAGCATGGTGGTGGCAGCATCATGCTGTGGGGATGTTTTTCATCGGCAGGGACTGGGAAACTGGTCAGAATTGAAGGAATGATGGATGGCGCTAAATACAGGGAAATTCTTGAGGGAAACCTGTTTCAGTCTTCCAGAGATTTGACACTGGGACGGAGGTTTACCTTCCAGCAGGACAATGACCCTAAGCATACTGCTAAAGCAACACTCAAGTGGGGGAAACATTTAAATGTCTTGGAATGGCCTAGTCAAAGCCCAGACCTCAATCCAATTGAGAATCTGTGGTATGACTTAAAGATTGCTGTACACCAGCTGAACCCATCCAACTTGAAGGAGCTGGAGCAGTTTTGCCTTGAAGAATGGGCAAAGATCCCAGTGGCTAGATGTGCCAAGCTTATAGAGACATACCCTAAGAGACGTGCAACTGTAATTTATGCAAAAGGTGGCTCTACAAAGTATTGACTTTGTTTTTTTTTGTTTTATTTCTTGTTTGTTTCACAATAAACAATATTTTTCATCTTCAAAGTGGCATGATTTAGGCATGTTGTGTAAATCAAATGATACAAACCCCCCTAAAATCCATTTTAATTCCAGGTTGTAAGGCAACACAATTCAATATTACTTTTGTAATACAGTAAATAGCCTTAAGTTAAGGCTATCTGACAAACTAATGTAACATTAAAACTTAAAATGAGGAACATTCATGGCCACATTTTGAGGTTACTGTAACTATAAATGCCTTCTTATGTAATCATAGAAAGTGTACATGTTCAAGATAGCATGCATAGTTCATCTCAGGTCTGTGGAGATCTTCACAATTTATGTAATAATCTGTGCAGAATCTCGAACGCATTGATCAATTGTACCATGCACTTTTAATGTAAACTGCAATCCAGGTAATTTAGTTCTGCTATTAGAGGAAGCACAGGGATACACATTAATCTGTTGTATAAATAAACAAAATATCTGACATTGTATTCACATTTGAACTTTGCTGGGCTTTTAAATGGTTGAAAGTGCAGTGATAGACATTTGGTTGACAACTAAACCAAAATTCTGACATTGTTTTTTCATTGGAATTTGTTTGTGCTTTTAGATGGTTGAATCATAGTGATACACATTTTTCTTTCTTTCTTTCTTTCTTTCTTTCTTTCTTTCTTTCTTTCTTTCTTTCTTTCTTTCTTTCTTTCTTTCTTTCTTTCTATCTGACTCTCTCTCGCTCTCTGTCTCTGTGAGTGTGTGTGGGTTCATACTTTAGACTACCGTCTCTAACCTGTGTATTGTTTACTCTGCCTCCTGCAGGAGAAAGAGAAGAAGTACATGCTCCAGGTGGACAACCTGAGGCTGAGGGATGTGGAGAAGGGCTTCATGTCCAGCAAGCAGATCTTTGCCCTGTTCAACACGGAGCAAAGGTACGTTCTTAAGTGGACATTTCATATTTTCATGTCAGATGTTTTAAGCTAATTTATGGAATTTCTTTCCTTCTTAATGCATTTGAGCCAATCAGTTGTGTTGTGAGCCAGTTAAGTATACATTATTTGGGCTTTGAGTAAAGCCAGTGTGTCTACAGTGGCTTGCGAATGATGCTGCCCCCACCATGCTTCACTGTGGGGATGGTGTTCTCGGGGTGATGAGAGGTGTTGGGTATATATATACAATCCTCTTCTGGATCATCCAAATGCACTCTAGCAAACTTCAGACGGGCCTGGACATGTACTGGCTTAAGCAGGGGGACACGTCTTGCACTGCAGGATTTGAGTCCCTGGCGGCGTAGTGTGTTACTGATGGTAGGCTTTGTTACTTTGGTCCCAGCTCTCTGCAGGTCATTCACTAGGTCCCCCTGTGTGGTTCTGGGATTTTTGCTCACCGTTCTTGTGATCATTTTGACCCCACGGGGTGAGATCTTGCGTGGAGCCCCAGATCGAGGGAGATTATCAGTGGTCTTGTATGTCTTCCATTTCCTAATAATTGCTCCCACAGTTGATTTCTTCAAACCAAGCTGCTTACCTATTGCAGATTCAGTCTTCCCAGCCTGGTGCAGGTCTACAATTTTGTTTCTGGTGTCCTTTGACAGCTCTTTGGTCTTGGCCATAGTGGAGTTTGGAGTGTGACTGTTTGAGGTTGTGGACAGGTGTCTTTTATACTGATAACAAGTTCAAACAGGTGCCATTAATACAGGTAACGAATGGAGGACATAGGAGCCTCTTAAAAAAGAAGTTACAGGTCCGTGAGAGCCAGAAATCTTGCTTGTTTGTAGGTGACCAAATACTTATTTTCCACCATAATTTGCAAATAAATTCATTAAAAATCCTACAATGTGATTTTCTGGAAAAGATATTCTCAATTTGTCTGTCATAGTTGATGTGTACCTATGATGAAAAATACAGGCCTCTCTCATCTTTTTAAGTGGGAGAACTTGCACAATTGGTGGCTGACTAAATACTTTTTCCCCCCACTGTATGCACGCACCACTTTTCCTTTATTTACTTTTTAGAATTTATTGAAACAAGTTATTTTTTTCATTTCACTTCACCAATTTGGACTATTTTGTGTATGTCCATTACATGAAATACAAGTTCAAATCCATTTACATTACAGGTTGTAATGCAACAAAATGAATAGTTTTGCAAGGCACTGTATGTATGCAGATGATTCAACACTATACACGTCAGCTACCACAGTGACTGAAATGACAGCAACACTTAACAAAGAGCTGCAGTTAGTTTCAGAATGGGTGGCAAGGAATACGTTAGTCCTAAATATTTCAAAAACTCAAAGCATTGTATTTGGGACAAATCATCCGCTAAACCCTAAACCTCAACTAAATCTTGAATGAATAATGTGGAAATTGAGCAAGTTGAGGAGACTAAATTGCTTGGACTAACCCTGGATTGTAAACTGTCATGGTCAAAACATATTGATACAACAGTAGCTAGGATGGGGAGAAGTCTGTCTATAATAAGGCGCTGCTCTGCATTCTTAACAGCACTTTCAACAAGGCAGGTCCTACAGGCCCTAGTTTTGTCGCACCTGTACTACTGTTCAGTCGTGTGGTCAGGTGCCACAAAGAGGGACAATTGCAATTGGCTCAGAACAGGGCAGCACGGCTGGCCCTTGGATGTACACAGAGAGCTAACATTAATAATATGCATGTCAATCTCTCCTGGCTCAAAGTGGAGGAGAGATTGACTTCATCACTACTTGTATTTGTGAGAGGTATTGACATGTTGAATGCACCGATCTGTCTGTTTGAACTACTGGCACACAGCTCAGACACCCATGCATACCCCACAAGACATGCCACCAGAGGTCTCTTCACAGTCCCCAAGTCAAGAACAGACTATGGGAGGCGCACAGTACTACATAGAGCCATGACTACATGGAACTCTATTCCACATCAAGTAACTCATGCCAGCAGTAAAATTAGATTTACAAAAACAGATAAAAATACACCTTATGGAACAGCGGGGACTGTGAAGCAACACAAACATAGTGTTCCTCTGTAGTAGTCCTCTGTAGCTCAATTGGTAGAGCATGGCGCTTGTAACGCCAGGGTAGTGGGTTCGATCCCCGGGACCACCCATACGTAAAAATGTATGCACACATGACTGTAAGTCGCTTTGGATAAAAGCGTCTGCTAAATGGCATATTATAATTATATTATAGACACTTGCATACAAACACACGATAACATACGCACTATACACACATGTACACATGGATTTTGTGTCATTGATATGTGGTAGTAGAGTAGAGGCCTGAAGGCACACACTTAATATGTTGTGAAATCTGTTATGAATGTATTGTAATGTTTTTAAAATGTATAACTGCCTTAATTTTGCCGGACCCCAGGAAGAGTAGCTGCTGCGTCGGCAGCAGCTAATGGGGATCCATAATAAATACAAATTTAAATGATGCCCCTGCACACACACACACACTCAGAGTTGCCCCTCTGTGTCCACAGGAATGTATATAAGGACTACCGTCAGCTGGAGTTGGCCTGCGAGAGTCAGGAGGAGATAGATGGGTGGAAGGCCTCCTTCCTTAGAGCTGGAGTGTATCCTGAACGCGTCACGGTACGAAACACACACACACACTGGCATAGACCTTCACATTTTAGTCAGTAACTCCACCAGTCCAAAACATGTTGTTGATTGTGATGATGGTTTGCTTTCACAGTACTAGTAGAGTCAGTCATTTAATGTTCAACACCATCTCTGGGGCTGCAGGTAGCTTAGTGGTTCAGAGCGTTGTGCCAGTATCGCTGGTTCTAATCCCCGAGCCGACTAGGTGAAAAATCTGTCGACGTGCCCTTGAGCAAGGCACTCAACCCTAATTGCTCCTGTAAGTCGCTCTGGATAAGAGCGTCTGCTAAATGACTAAAATGTAAATCTCTCTCTGTCCCTGTCCCTCTCTCTCTCTGTATGTCCTTTGTTGCTGTTGGACCCAATAGGAGAAGGAGGGCAAGGTATGTGCTTTGTGTCTTGATGTCTATTCCAACTCTTCACCCCTTTTACACAGTTTTCTCTAGAGCTTTGCTCAAGCTACAGAGGTATGATCTTAATTTGATCACTCTTTTTCAAACTTGTAGTGTATTTGAGGTTTAAAAAGGCTTCTAAAGTTTGTCTTTTCCACTTTAAAATATCAAACTTGATTTGCCCTAACGAAAAATGTATCAACCCTTACAAAACATGTCCATTAATTATAATCCACATAATAATTCACATTTCCTGTTACTGCAGGTTTATTTTCCTGCTGTAGCAAACTGGCTCAAATTAAGATCCTACATCTGTAGTGTTGCCAATTTAATTTGATACTGAACTCTGATTGGCTCTAATGATTTATACAGTGCTGCGCCTCCTCTCTCGTCTCGCCTCATTGGCTGTTTCTAATCAACAGCCCAGTCATTCATCATTCGAACCAGGCCAGGAAGTTCAAATGTCACTCTCATCAGGGTTCTGCTATAGCTGTATAGTACAACCATCTGATTGTAATAGGCTAAGCAAATAAAGGAATTAGCATTGGGGCATGAGCCAAGAGAAAGTGGTAGAGACAGAGAGATGTTGTCTCCAATGGCTCCCCACAGTGATTTCACAGACTACGCAAACAGAGCCAAGGAACTCCATTTGCGTGGCGTTCCAAAAATTCAGCCACACAAAAGTACGTAGAACTACGTAGATAGCTACACAAATGAAGCTCTGTCGGATCCGTTAGGGATCCGTTGCATCGACTGTGTGGAGCCCTGGCTCAGTGTGAAATTATTTCTCTATAGTGACAGTTTAGGAGTGCTATTTAGTGGATGTTATTAATTATCTGTGATATTAAGGATTGTTTCACTACTTGTTGTGATTAGAGAGCTCAGAGGGGGCAGATTTTTCCTGTACAAAAAAGTACATATACTGTATATTAAAACAATTATAATAATAATAAAAAAATTATCTGTAATACTACTAGCCACTTAGCAATTTTATGAAGTTGACTTTAGCTAGCCAAATAGGTTCCCAATCTACCAAGAAGCCATTTCAGGCTATTAAGTTAGAGTAGCTAGCTAGTCTAACTATCTTAGCTGGCATGCCTGCTGGTAAGATTAGTAACATGTACTGAATAAGACTCACATTCCTTTCATTATTTTACCCAGATTTTAGCAGAGATGCAGAGAAGCATATTTAGTTTCTTTAAAAAAAGAACCACAAGTCAGGAGGATACAGACAGCTCAAGAGGTAGGCTTAGATATACATATATATTTTTTTTATATACATAGAATTAAGCCTAATGATTATGGCTCTAGATTGCAGGAATAAGCTGTTTCCGGTGTTTGAAAAATGCAAAATTCTCAAACGTATGGACCTAGCCCCCTTCCAGAACCCCTCCTCTAGGCATCCTCACGTACTTTGTGCTTCCTCAGAATTTTGGGGTGCATGACGCCCCTGAGAGGGCTCCTTCTTTCTCCACTCAATATTTCTCTCTTTCTCTTTCTTTTCTCCCTCTCCCTGTCCCTCTCCTTTTGCATCTCCCTCTCCCTCCCCCCTTCTCTCTGTCTCTCTCTCTCTCTCTCTCTCTTTCCATCTCATTCTCCCCCTCTTTCCCTCTTCCTCTCCCTCTCCCTGTCCACCTCTCTTCCCTTCCCTCTAATCCCCTCCTCCCTGGTGTTGTCCACCAGCAGAGTGACAGTGGAGATGGAGAGAACGGCTCAGATAACTTCATGCACTCCATGGACCCCCAGCTGGAGAGGCAGGTGGAGACCATCCGCAACCTGGTGGACTCCTACATGGCCATCGTCAACAAGACCGTCAGGGACCTCATGCCCAAGACCATCATGTACCTCATGATCAACAATGTGAGTCCCACTCCCCATTGGTCACTTTAGACTAGTGGTGTCAAAGTAATCTTCTGGAGGGCCAGCTGATTCACACCAGCTGATTTTTTTATGAAAAAATGTATGCACTCACTAACTGTAAGTCGCTCTGGATAAGAGCGTCTGATAAATGACTAAAAATGTAAAAAAATATATACAAAAATGATTTTCATCATTGTCTTTTAATCTGTGTCTGATTGGTTTAGACTTAGGAAACCAGCAGTCCTGTGGAATCTCTAGCCAATCAGCGACAAGAATGGATCAAATAAGGGCTCGATTCAATCAGATCCGCTTTAGCCGACATCCGCATAGCGGTCGTTTTGATGGTGTCGGAGGTGGAACTGTGTTAGAGCTGTCAAATCCACAAGTAGCTTCCGGCATTACACCTAAAGCAGACATTGCCATTGGCTGCACGAAGTTGCATTAACAGAAATCCCAAGCAGCCTTGTTTACAAGTTTGAACACTGGAATCTGAGATGTATTCTACACCTCGATTAAGATGATAGAAATCTTAATTCTTTTGTTTAATGATCTTTCAATTTGAGCATCAATATTTCTATAACGACTACACTTTCTCGTTCTGAACTTCTAACACGAGTGGGAAGGGTTTGGCTTCATGACAATGATTGCAAAAGCAGCTGCTCACCGATTTGACGGTTCCAACGCAGTTCCACCTCCGACACCGCCAAAACATCCACTATGCGGCTGTCTGTTATCGCCGGTTAACGCTTGATCTGATTGAATTTAGGCCTAAGTGCAAAGGAGGAAGAAAAACCTGTCATCTCCACCGCAACTCTTTGTTATTGTTGTAAACAAAAACGTACATCTCCAAATCCCCGCCTCTTCCCCCCTCCTTCACACAGACCAAGGAGTTCATCAACGCGGAGCTACTGGCCAACCTGTACCACTCTGGGGACCAGAACAGCCTGATGGAGGAGTCCCAGGAGCAGGCCCATCACCGCGACGAGATGCTCCGCATGTACCACGCCCTGAAGGAGGCCCTGAACATCATCGGAGACATCAGCACCACCACCATCACCACCGCCATGCCACCACCCGTAGACGACTCCTGGTTGAGGCCGGGGGGAAACAACTCCGGGGGCAGGTACGGATGGAGGGAGAGCAGGAGGGTGGGGAAATGGGGGAGAGGGATGGAAGGAGGTCAATTGCTCTGGAGGCAGGTACGGATGGAGGGAGAGCAGGAGGGTGGGGAAATGGGGGAGAGGGATGGAAGGAGGTCAATTGCTCTGGAGGCAGGTACGGATGGAGGGAGAGCAGGAGGGTGGGGAAATGGGGGAGAGGGATGGAAGGAGGTCAATTGCTCTGGAGGCAGGTACGGATGGAGGGAGAGCAGGAGGGTGGGGAAATGGGGGAGAGGGATGGAAGGAGGTCAATTGCTCTGGGGGCAGGTACGGATGGAGGGAGAGCAGGAGGGTGGGGAAATGGGGGAGAGGGATGGAAGGAGGTCAATTGCTCTGGAGGCAGGTACGGATGGAGGGAGAGCAGGAGGGTGGGGAAATGGGGGAGAGGGATGGAAGGAGGTAAATTGCTCTGGGGGCAGGTACGGATGGAGGGAGAGCAGGAGGGTGGGGAAATGGGGGGAGAGGGATGGAAGGAGGTCAATTGCTCTGGAGGCAGGTACGGATGGAGGGAGAGCAGGAGGGTGGGGAAATGGGGGAGAGGGATGGAAGGAGGTCAATTGCTCTGGGGGCAGGTACGGATGGAGGGAAAGCAGGAAAATTGAATAATAATAATAATAATACAAAATATATGCCATTTAGCAGACGCTTATCCAAAGTGACTTACAGTCATGTGTGCATACATTTTACATATGGATGGTTCCGGGGGGAATAAGGGAATGGAAAGGAGAGGATGAGGGGAGGAGGACTGGATGCTCAGTAATGTTTTTTCTTACCATGACCATGACACTCCTCAATGTTTCGTTACACTGGTGTTGTGGCCTCCCCTGCTGGTGTGTAAGAGAACTGACTGCCAATGCACTCTCTCTCTCTTTCTCTCTCTCTCTCTCTCTCTCTCTCTCTCTTTTTCTCTCTCTCTCTATCTCTTTCTCTCTCTCTCTCTCTCTTTCTCTCTCTCACTCCCTCTCTCCCTCCCCCCTCTCAGGTCTCCAGCCGCCAGTCCCACTCCAAATAGAAGGGCTCCCCCAGGTCTTCCTGGTCGCCCTGTCTCCCGTGGCTCAGCCCCTGGCCTCCCTCCTGGCCCCCCTGTCCCCTCTCGCCCGGGGGCCTCCCCGGACCCCTTCAGTGGGCCACCCCCATCAGTCCCCTCCCGGCCTAACCGTGCACCCCCTGGTGTGCCCAGGTGAGTGGAACCGAACCAAACGTTACATCTCAACGCAAAAGTAACCAAGTCTATCAATGTATAACACTACAATAGGTCCTACAGGGAGACAGACACAAGCCATTGAGGTTTTGTAAGGGATACTATGAGAATGATGACAAGGAAATGACATCCAAGCTGAAGTGTCAATGCTATGTGTTGCTAAGGGGGATATGAAGACGCCAGGAGGGTTGATGGAGGTAAATGAGAGTTGAGAGCATGTTGTGATAGAGGATAGATCCATATAGATAGAGGATGTCAGGTCCAGGAGATGCTGCTGGCTAGAGAACAGATGGGTGGTAGAGGGAGGACGGACGAGAGGCATGTCATAGATTGATCCCCTCCAAAAGCCCACCCCTGTAGTAAAACAATGCCACATACAAGATCACACACTGCTTACAGTGCATTCGGAAAGTATTCAGACTCCTTGACTTTCCCCACTTTTTGTTACATTAGAGCCTTATTCTAAAATGTATTAAATAGTTTTTTTCCCCTCATCACAATACCCCATAATGACAAAGCGAAAACAGGTTTTTAGAAATGTTTGCAAATGTATTATATAAAATGTACATAAGTATTCAGACCCTTTGCTATGAGACTCTAAATTGAGCTCAGGTGCATCCTGTTTCCATTGATCATCCTTGAGATGTTTCTACAACTTGATTGGAGTCCACCTGTGGTAAATTCAATTGATTGGACATGATTTGGAAAGGCACACACCTGTCTATATAAGGTCCCACAGTTGACAGTGCATGTCAGAGCAAAAACCAAGCCATGAGGTCGAAGGAATTGACCGTAGAGCTCCGAGACAGGATTGTGGGTACCAAAACATTTCTGCAGCATTGAAGGTCCCCAAGAACACAGTGGCCTCCATCATTCTTAAATGGAAGAAGTTTGGAACCACCTAGACTCTTCCCTGAGCTGGCCGCCTGGGCAAACTGAGCAATCGAGGGAGAAGGGCCTTGGTCAGGGAGGTGACCAAGAAGCCGATGGTCAATCTGACAGAGCTCCAGAGTTCCTCTGTGGAGATGGGAAAACCTTCCAGAAGGAAGGCAACGCAGGAGTGGCTTCGGGACAAGTCTCTGAATGTCCTTGAGTGGCCCAGCCAGAGCCTGTACTTGAACCTGATCGAACATCTCTGGAGAGACCTGAAAATAGCTGTGCAGCGACGCTCCCCATCCAATCTGACACAGCTTGAGAGGATCTGCAGAGTATGAATGGGAGAAACTCCTCAAATACAGCTGTGCCAAGCTTGTAGCGTCATACCCAATAAGACTTGAGGCTGTAATTGCTGCCAAAGGTGCTTCAATAAAGTACTGAATAAAGGGTCTGAATACTTATGTAAATGTGATATCAATCTTTTATTTTTAATACATTTGCAAAAATATATAAAAACCTGTTTTTGCTGTGTCATTATGGGGTATTGTGTGTAGATTGATGAGGAAAAAAAACAATTTAATCAATTTTAGAATAAGGCTATAACGTAACAAAATGTGGAAAAAGTCAAGGGGTCTGAATACTTTCCGAAGGCACTGTATACACACGTATACACACACCTGATATATTTTCTACTTACGTTGTTGTTTACTGACATTACTTACTGCCAAGAAGGTTTTTAGTATTACCAACTTACATTTCCTACACACTAATATAACCATACTTGTAAAGACCTTAACAGCTTTAAGCACTTTTACCACTTTTTACTAGCAGTGGCCTTTGCTAGAATCTATGGTTTTGTAGTGGAGACCTATCCTATATCCCACGCTCTTATTCTTTCTAGTTTAGGAATAGTGTCTCTTGTCTACTCAATCTCTCCATGTGGCAATAAACAGAGAGAGAAATAGAAAGGGGAGAGTGGGATTCTTTGATTTTTTTTGTTCTCTGTTCAACTGTGTCCGCACTGCTAATGTTTGCCTTGTGTTTGCCTGTGGTTGTAAGCTAATGGACACTGTACTGATCTGATATGAACTCACGGTCAGGGCAGCAGCTTGCCTTACTGAGGGAGACACACACGTTGCCTGACACTGCTCTCGTTCACACATACCCTCAACCGTCCTAATAATGCTTTCACAATGACTTTAAGCCATGTTGGAACCAATAACCCGAAATCAACCACTAAATAATGGTCCAAATCTGAATGGTCCAGGGTGAGAGCATAGCCTTGTCATGTGACGTGGGTCTCTCCTGCACTGTAACCTGTATGAGTTTGTTTGCACTCCTCTTCCTGTCCTCCTCACCCTATCTCCTTCACCACACCTCTATCCCACCGTTGACTATGGTTCCTCTTTCAGAATCACTATCAGTGACCAATGAGGACTAACGCTTCTGGTACGTTTGGTACTACTCACCATCATCATCTTCATCATCCTCTTCCTCATGCTGCGTTCTCTTAGATCCTGTCACCTCACTGCATGCCACAATCCCTCTCTCCTTTTCTTTCATGTTTTTCTGAGCCCTCCCTAATGCCTCTTTTAGCACTGCAGACAAACATACATGAGCACACACAGCTCACAGTGTGTTAGTGTCACGATGGTTTTGTTATTGTCCACTGAAATCCTTGAAATCCTTTTATTCTGGTTTGAGGGTGTATGTTTCAGTTGGGATAGGTTTGAGTTGAAAAAAGTCAGATGATTCCTCTAGATACACACACGCATACACACACACGCATACACACACAGGCATACACACACAGGCATACACACAAACGTGCACGCACACACCTGACCAGAGCTTCCCATTTGGGGTCAGAAGTCAAAGGTGATGGGTTTGTGTCAGTGTTGTGTGTTGCCTCATGACATCTCACCCATCCCCAGCCTTGTTGTTTGGTGGCGTGACACTTTCCTGTTCTGTGTTTTTCCTGTCTAGATGTCAACATAGGATTCATTAGAGGATAGGGAAGCTGTTAGAAAGGCTATACTGTGGGTGGTAATAATGGTTTGAAAAGGGTATGTAATGTCTAGTTAATGTCTATCCAACTAGCTATTCTGACGGTCATTATCTATGTTATGCTGCCACCCTGTCTCCTACAGTTGTAATCTGTTTTTTAGAATTGATGCTAATTAGCCCCTCCTTTGATAGTGAAGTAAAGATAGCATAACCTTGAAGATCATAGCAGAACGACTATGGAGATTATAAAATGTGTTATATCTTTGGTAGCAATTATAATTACACAGCTCCTGAGGGTTGACATTCAACCCTCTATCTCTCATGTTTTGCATGCAGATTGGGTTGAAAGAGTAGAATATTATGGATGATAATATAATGGAGCTATACTGCCCTCTTCTGGGCCCCAAAACAACTGCTTGTCACCAATGGAAACTTTATACTGTATATTTATTCTAAGACAATCATTAATGAAGACAATCAAATCTGCAGGAAAGACTTGTATGTTAGTGTGTTACCTGTTTTGTCTGGCTGTCATCTCCCACACTGTCCCATGAAGCTGTGAATGTGTGTGTATGCGTGCGTGTTACCGGACCTTTGTGCGTGTGTGAGAGAGAAAGAGCCTGCATATAATTTGATGTTCAATAGGGGAGCTGAATGTGCAATTACAAAAGAGTGTAAGTATACTTGACTGTATGGTGTACAGTGATGTTGAGTATTACCGCTTGCCCGTGGGGGGAATGATACCCAGACAGAATGACAGTCCTAACTCATCTCTGTCTCTGTCTCTGTGTTTTGTCTGTGATTGTGTCTGTGTGTCTGTTCATCTGTGTGTGTATCCATGGTCCTCTTGGCAGCCGAAGACCCCCTCCCTCACCAACCCACTAAACTACTGAGCCCCCCTTCCCTCCAACCCACCGCCTATCCCATGGCAGAGAGACCAAGAACTGCAGAGCAACCTACCTACCTAGATCTGACCTAGATCCTTCTTCCTCCTCTTCCTTCTCTACTAAATGACATGGTCACGTCACACACGCACAAACCCACACCCATACACACACAAACACACTGTATACCCCCAATACACAGAAATGCATTCACCCTCCTCTGCATATAAAGGTCCATTGTAGGACCTGTACACCTGTAAGTAGTCGCACACTTAAATGGACAGGGATATGCATGGGTGGATTCAGCAAATATGGACGAGAGGGTTAAGAATGCTATGCTGAAATATGTTATTTCTCACCCTCCCCCTTCAGATGGGTATTTCTCTTTCTTCCTCTCATATCTGAAAGATTTTTTTGATCATTTTGGATATTGATAATGATGTTTTTTTTGTGCTGTTGGACACTATTCTATGTGTTGATGCATTATCCGTCTATCTAGCAAGGGGGAGTGGATCAGAAGAGATAACTGCATCTGAAAAACAGAGTTATTTTCTATGATCGTCATGATCCATACTGGTCCCTAAAGTCACAGGCTAGGACACACCTGACATAGATGGGCAAGTAGGAAAAACACCTAGAGAAAATCTACATTTCATAACCAACAATGACTGTAATGTGTCACAATGTAATGTGGTATCTATCTCACTGCACTTAGATTGTGTATTCTGTTTATTATGATACGTTGATTGTGTCCTTTTATATCTAATATCACAACAGTGACTCCTAGCCTCTGAGTTTGGGGAAATGTTCTCTCATTATGTTTCATTCACTTGTTCGTCCTTCGCTTCATCTGGCTTCATTATGTCCTCTTTCCTCTATTTTTCTATTTTATTCTGCCTCTTTTCAACGAACAGCCGGCCATGCAAGGGTGGGCCCTCTCGCCCTGAGAGCCCCCTGCCTCCTTCTGACTCCTAGAAGCCCCCCTCCTCTGACATCCCCTTCCACCAAACCTCACTATCCTTCACACCAATCAGAGACCTCAGCAGCTCTCCACAACAGCCTCCCTCTAAACAAGGGAGAGGGGGAGCGAAGAAATAAGAAATTGCCAACCCCTCTATCTCCATGGGTCTATGTCCTACGCCCTTCTGTAGACACTAGGCCTTCTGTCACTCTGAAGGCCCACTCTTATGTTGTGCTAACCATGATGATGATGTATTGTATTACTGTATCTGCATGCAATGACACAAGTTCAGGTGCTCAGACTAACTGTGATCTGGTGTATATCAGTGTAAACTCCTCCACAACCAGCTCCCTAAGGCACATGCTGCTCTCTGTGCTTCAACCTCTGTACCCATGCCACAGGTGCTGGGGGAGTTGTGAACTCAAGGGTCTTCCGCTAAAAACTGTGGCCCAACATTGTCGTCTGTCTGTCTCTTCTTCTCCTCTCCCATTTGTCAATGAACCACTTCCATACTAGTGAAACTCAGTACCATAGCGAGGCGGGATCTAAATAGGAAGTGCAATATGTTATTATTGGACAGCTTAATGAGAGCTGTCCACCAATCACACTAGACTCAGAGTAGATGCTCAGCCTGAGAGGAGGCGAGGAGACAGACAAGGCCCAAAGGGTGTGTCTCAATACTGATAACTGGCATCATTTCTCCTTTCCTCAGAAGGAAAGTTGAAAAATGTAAGTTGTGTTCAAGAATTATATTTTAATGTGTTGAACCAGCCCAGGATTAGGTTTTTGACTCGCAAAGCGTTTCCAAGACCACTGGCAGGAGAACCTCTGAGAAATATGTTGAATATCATTGGAACTGTGTAATGAGTGTTGGGGTGATGGTGTGGCACTTTCAATTTTGGCATGATTTATCAGCTTTTTTTCTTTTCTGTTCTTTCCTTTTTTCCTCTCTCAGTGGTCACGGGGGTGAGTGAGGACATCAGATTTAAACCACTAACAACCCAATCAGTGATGGTCTATGCATAGAGCCTTATACACACGCCTGTACAGTACACCTCCCATGTTACTCATGCGTTCCGTTGCTGTGTGAGAGATGTGAGTTGACGGTCTGTGGTTTGTTGTATTATGACCCTGTTGGTAATAATAGTACATGTTGGACATGACAACAGTAAAAAAACTAAACTCATTAGCATACCCACAAACCCGTTTCAGTATCCATATCATACTCACTTCATACAAACCCACCCCTCCCCTTCACAACACCCTGGAGTCTTAGGAAAAGTAAATACATAAAATATATTTTTATTTTGATTTAAGAGTAAATAGGACATATCTTACATGAGTGATTGTGTATCTTATGTGGTGCATCTTATGGAAATTGTGCTTCCACTTGTCTACAGGTTAGTTGACATTGTATGAATACTGAATATTAAATTATTACGAATAAGTGACTGAGTATGTGTACAATGAAACATTAAAACTAAAAACAAACTTGATAAATAAGTGAATGTTATGAAATCCCTGTTGATGGATTTGTTGAGTATTAGCAGGTTGCTTGATGAATAGCATGTAGAGGAGAGGGGAGAGGAAATGAGAGGTGTGGAGACGGGGCAGAGTGATTGTGTGTGTTCTATCCCACTGTGATAACGTCGTCCTGTATCTTATATCTTACTGCTGTGGGTGGAATGAGTCTGTCCAACAGGACTGTGCTTCGTCAACACATTAAAAGTCAGTGTACCAATATGGTCTGCTTGTCTTATTTTGTGGAAAATCAGTAATTGCACATTCAAAATAACATGTCTAATTCATAGGGCATATTGAAGGTAGAAACTCAGAGGGAAACTTGCAAGGATCCATTGACCAGATTCTGTCTACTTTGATGAATACATTTTATTTAGGAGGGGAGAAAAAAAATCTTACAGGAGAAATCACATCAGCAATGTATTGTCGGAAGCCATTTTGTTAGCTCATAAGGATCGTTCAGCGTCCCCCAACAACCTCCATTACATTAAAACTGATTAGTTTGGATAATTATTCCAAATAAATATAATATTTAATGAACCTTTGTATTAAATCAAAGATATCACCCCTACCCCTTCACTTCAGCTGTGTGTTCTGAAGCCAACAATGGCTCAGACAGACAGACAAACGCTCTGGGCTGCTAGCGACACCCATTACCCTTATTCCCACCAGGCAGAATGAATATACAATATCTTACACAGTTACAGTATATACAGCTCCTTTACAACAGAAGGCTTTCACCTCTGTCGCTAATCATCTGCTCAATCACACACATCCATTCAAAAGAAATATTCAATTAGAAAGTTGAGAAAAAAAAATCTGTTTAATCTATTACTTTTATCTCGTCACCATAATAAATGACATTTTATATTACTAGAAAATATTTCCTACTCCCAAAACAAAAAAGTTAACTTTTTTTATGACAATATTTTTCTAAAGTAAAGTAAAAGAGAATGCTAAGCCAGGAATTTAATTCAGATCAGGGTAACGGTACATTCACTTTCAACAGAAATCAAGTCCTACTGCAAAAGTGCTGCGCTTCAGGGTAGACTTGGTTCAGCAACCATGTCATAGCGCAGACCAGGTACAAACACTTACACCTCTACAGACCAGGAAACTTCCTCCACAACCACTACTTTCCTCATATCGAACTAACCACATTTCACATAGCATCATCAAAAACCATCTTTGATTTTTCAGACTGTGTTTTTGCTTTTCATTCAGTTTTAGGGTAATCAATTGACATTAAAGACTTCCATTCGTGAATAAAAAAATCTGACATCGGTAGTCAACAAAGACATTATGTAAGCATCAAAACTCCAAATCATCTCCCAAAAAACTGGGATGTTATCCCCATCATGGGAAGGTTCTCCAAAAACAGGAGGACCTTCCTGGACCTGTCAATCAAACAGCAGAGCTTAACCCCCATTGCCTCTGCCTTGTGTTACTAGAATTAATACAACCCTCTCTCTATTTATATGTACATACCTGTACATCCTCCTAGTGCGCACACACTCTCTCTCTCTTTCGGTCACTTCAACACACACACTTTAGTCTCCATTCGTTAGCTTTGAGTGGAACCCTCGGCCCAGATGTGCCAAAGAGCACATATGACATCATAGGGCTCCAAAGCATAGAAATCAAATGCCTAGAATGGGTCTGCCATAGAAAAATGACTGTCCAAAAAAATAAGTGATGGGACACGGTTTGATTAGAAGCTCTGTACAATTTTTGTGCAATAACCTACAGTAAAAGCCAATGTAACTAGAGAGAAGAGACCACTTCCATTCAGATCATGAGGGATACAATTGAGATTGGATTATTTATCACACAGACACACAATCTTCAGCCAGTTTCAAAGGGAACAACTTAATATCAATGATATGTAGAGGGGCAACAAGCACAATGGAATTGAAAGATTGATAAACAAAGAGATGACATGAAAATGCCATGAAATGGGACCTAAAATAAATGAACAGAGAGCAAACGAGCGGACTACAACTGACTGGCTCATTGGCATAAGAGAAAGCTCTACTGTACATACGTGTGTTCAGATTTCAGTGTTTCCAAACTGAAGAGGTCATTTTTGGGGAGAGCAGCCGTGTGTGTCTACATTCATGTCCCTCTTTCCTATGACGTCATTGTGTTCCCCTACTTAGAAATGAATTGAACAGTGCAAACTTGGCCAAATGCTAGTGTCTTTACCAATGCTTTCCTGACTTACTTTCTCCCCAGTTAGGCCAAGGCTCCAACCTGGCCCATCCCTCCTTCCTGAATTGATAGACCTTCACTACTCCACCTGCTATCCTGACCTACCCAGATAACACACTCCCTCCACTGCCATAGAACACACCAACAGCTACCAAGGGCTGTGTCTCTTTCCATTAATGACCAAATATCTGAGTATGTCTTGTTGCCCATCAGTGGTCATGGAGGAATGGAGACAAGGCAATGAATTGAGACACAGCCCACTGGGAAAAACCAAGCCTTGTCTGTCTCCACTACCAACCACAGACAGACAACCCCAGTTCTTCTCCAGAATCAGACACACATTGTGAATGAGGATCCTGTGAGTAGTCCACGCACGCCCACACACTATTGCTGTTAACTTCACTCAAAGCCTTAATTTCTCCTTCAACAGACAATGACTGAGGGGACAGAGATACTTTATTGCACAAGGGGTGGAGGAAGAGAGGTGAAGGTTAGGGAATAGAGGAGCGGGATCAGAAAAGGGACGTATGTAGGAATAAACATCTGTTCATCAAGAGAATCACAGAACTAATCTCAGTAGCCTCAGTTGGAATACTTCTGTCATCTAATGTTATTAAATACCAATCAAAGGAGACAAAAAATGTAATCTGACACAAACACAAAAGTAAGGAGGAGGAAGAAGACGAGGAGAGGAACACAAGGAGTTCACGTGATTAAGTCACTATGTGTGTCCAGTAGTGATGGGGGGGGGGGGGGGGGGGGGGGGGGATCGATACAGTTACATATCGCAATATTATTTTTGGACGATATATCAATATTTGTAAAAAATAAAAAATAAGATTTTTTTGCTACTGTACGTAGCGTTAGCTAGTGCTAGTCAGCTGTATCTGCGCCAAAACTCTGGTATTTTTCATCATATAGCTTGTTCTCCATCTTCTTTTTAAATAGTGAGCCAACATGTTTTCAGCACTTTCCATGCCTGATGAAAAATGTGACGATGTCAGGGGAGAGAGTGAGTGTGCATGTGTGTGTGAGACAGTATAGCCAGAAGAGTGTGTACGTGTAATTCTAGATGACCTAAGCCAAACTGTGACGTGGTGGAAGGGTGTGTGTTTTCAGAGATCATCCAACACTGCCAGGGATCCCAACCAACGTTGCCAGTTAGATCCATAGTCTCATCATCATCATAATAATCATAATCAGACCACCAGGATCTTGACTTCGTCCTGCTGGTCAGGTCGGTAGAAGAAGGGGATGCAGGGGTTGTCCCCCAGGAAGGGCACGGAGCGGGGCCCCTGGATCTCCTGGAGCAGCTGCATGATCTGCCTGGCCGTGCCATCCTCCTGGTGCCTCATCAGGGCCTGGGAGTCTGGGGGGAGCCCCTGGCCCAAGTCTGACGGGGCACTGTGAGGGGTGTCAGGGGTGGTGGAGTCAGACTCCACAGCTTTACTTAGATCCATAGACTCTGGAGAGAGAATGGGGGGAGGAGATAAGAAATCAGGGAGGTTAGTATAATGACTATCCATGGGCTCTACAGAGGGAAATGGGGAGAAGGTGTGTGTTTTTATGTGTGCGTGTGCTCATACCTTGTCCGCCCATAGCGTTGAGCTCCATGCGTCTGTGTGCGTGGTGGTCCTCCCCAGCTGGCAGCAGGTCAGGGTTAGCCGTAGCGTCAGCGCTAGCCACCGTCCCAGCGTAGCGGACTGTACCACTCGTCCCTCTCACCCACCAACCTCATCACCAGGTCCTGCAGCTCTGCCAGTTTGGCCTGCATGGGCACAGAAACACGGTCAAAGTGGTGTACTTTCCTGTGTGTGAGTTGTGTACTTTCCTGTGTGTGTGAGTTGTGTACTTTCCTGTGTGTGTGAGTTGTGTACCTTCATCTCCTCTTTGTCCTGGGCCAACATTCTGATGTACTGCTCCTTCTCCATGTGTTTCTGCTTCATGACAGCTCTCTGGTTCTGGTACAGGGCAATGTACTCTCCTGGACAAACACACAATGAAGGAATAGGATGACAAGACCTGTCACATTTTGGGAATGAATTTGTAAGTGCATCACTGTTAGAGTGTGTGTGTGTGTGAGAGAGAAAAAGAGAAGTGGAGAGTGTGTGTCTCACTGATAGTGGCAGTCTTTACAGACAGTTACAGCGGTGATAGTGTGTCTCTCCAGACAGCTGTATAAAGGAGTGTGTGTCACCTATAGTATCAGTCTCTCCTGACAGCTGTATACAACGGTGTTCCAGCTCCTCTACCCTCTCCTTCAGGTCAGCCTTCTCTTGCATCAGAGAGGTGAAGCGGTGTTGGAGCTTCTCCATGGCAACACACAGGGCCTCGTGTACCTCCACTGGTACGCCCTCTGAACCTGAGACTAACAGGAGAGGGGGTACCGGTCACACACTGCACTGGTAACACACTCAAAACTAGCATAGTGCTCCTAGAAAACAAACACAGATCATGCACATAGCGCACACACATACGTGCATGCACCTCTCCTCCTCCATTCACCTGTGTGTTCACAGTGACTGTGGTCATCATGGCTGTGAGTGTGGTCGCGGCTGTGACCGTGGTCATGGTTGTGTTCATGGTCATGACTGTGGTGCTGGTGCTCCATGCTGAGTGCTGCAGCCTGGTGACGGGCTGCGAGGTGCAGTCTCCTCTCCTCCTCCAGTCTGCTCCTCACATCGTCTCGCTCTGCCTCCACACGCGCCACCGCACCGCGCACAAACTCCTCCTGAGAGAGACAGAAGGGAAGAATTATTATCGGAGACAATTATGAGAGATGCTTTGGAAACCCTCCCCTCTGTAGCATTTCGGAGCAACAACACTAGAGCCCACTTAAAACCACTGATAGGTGTATTCTCCTCACCATCTCTTCCCGGCTCTCAAAGTCTTCTGGGATAGCGATGGAGGACTTCTGTGGGCTTTCTGGCAGGGATTGGCTCTCCACTCCGTCTCCCTGGTCTCTGGGGGGTGTGGCCAGGGCTGAGCTGTTGAGCAGCTCAGTGACTTCAGCCTTCAGCTGCTCGTTGTCTCTGGACAACTGCTCCAGCCTCTCCTGTAGGGGGTTACCACAGCCAAAGTCATAAACCCTGCACATTTCTACAATTTATCTTCTTAAAATCTGATTTTTAAACCTAACCCTGAACCTAACCTTAACCCTAAACCACACTACTAACCTTACGCCTAAGCTTAAGTTTTAAAAAATCATGAATTTTTACCATAGCCTATTTTGACTGTGTGGCTGTGGTAACTAGTGACAACCCAGCCGGCCAGCCAGCTAGCGCAGCAGTAATGATGCATTATGAATGTGTGTGTGTCTCCCCATCCCGGTCCCTGACCTGGTATTGCTCCAGCTGTTTGTGGCTCATCTCCAGCTGAACCCTTCCCTGGGTCTCATCATGCTGCAGCTGGTCCATCAGCTGGCTCTGCTGCAGGTACTGTCTGTGGAGCTGCTCTCGTTCTGACGCCAGGGACGTGTAGCCTGCAGAGTACTGCTGTAGGTGGGCCACTATCTGGTCCCGCTGCTCCAGCAGCGCCTGGTACTCCAGAGACTTCAGCTCCAACTGGGGATGGAGCAGACATGTGTGATTGTGTGTCTGTGTGACAAATGTTGTTCCTGGAGCTGTTCACCATGAAATGTGTGTGCGCATGTGTGTGTGTCCCCCACAGGAGGTTGGTGGCACCTTCATTGGGGAGGACAGGCTCGTGGTAATGGTTGGAGCAGAATGAGTGGAATGGTATCAAATACGTCCAACACATTAGGTGTTAGACAGCTGTGTCTAACACCTAGCTGTGGGCAGCAGGTAGCTTAGTGGTTCAGAGCGTTGTGCCAGTAACTGAAAGGTCGCTGGTTCTAATCCCCGAGCAGACTAGGTGAAAAATCTGTCAATGTGCCCTTGAGCAAGGCACTTAACCCTAATTGCTCCTGTAAGTCGCTCTGGATAAGAGCGTCTGCTAAATGACTTAAATGTAAAATGTTTTACTAAAAATGCATACTGTGCTCCGAGCACGCAAATTGGAGTATGAGTCCAAATCAAAGTATGCGAAACAAAGCATGGAGGGCACTTCTTGAATGCGTACCCCATTTGTACATATTTTGAAGCATGCGTCGATGCAAGCTTCAACGGAAAGTATGCAAAGAAATATGACGCAACCATGTAAAAATGACGCAACTTTTCTTGAAATCAATATAATCATTATTTGAGCCGAAGGGAGAGAAAATACACTCCAACTTCGGAATTAAATGTTGCCTATTCACATCTCATATGTTGCTTGACTACAATATTTTATCTTGATATGTTAATAAATACATGCAGTGTTAATTTTGGCATGGTTACCTGCCTACAATACCCACTGTAGTGTACGTAGGTCGTAAGCCCATTGTAAGTCAACAGAGCTAACTGGCTAGCTATTACTGTTAGCTAGCCAGATAGCCACAAATAATTGTTAGCTAGCTACCCATGAAAAATTGACATCTACCTTGGATAACATTGGTTTTAGGTAATTTTTGCCTGCTATACTTTCTGGTTAGCTACATTATTCAGATTCCTATGTAGCTAGCTGATAGTTATGAAGTAAAACATTTGCTTTGTGTTTTTCTTGTTTCGTCTCTATTGCCATTGTCCTGGCTAGAAGAAGGAAGATTCAGTGAATGGGTAAATCCATAGTAAGTCAATAGGACTAATTGGCTAGCCACAAAGAATTGTTAGCTAGCAACCCATGCCGAATTTACATCTACTTTGCATAACATTCGTTTTAGGTCATTTTTGCCTGTTTAACTAGCTGGCTAGCTAGATTACGATTCAACATACAATGCATTCGGAAAGTTTTCATTCTCCTTGAATTTTTCCACATTTTGATACGTTACAGCCTTATTCTAAAATGGATTAGATAAATGTTTTTCCTCAAACTACACACAATAGCCCCATAATGTTTTTTTAATATATCGATTTACATAAGTATTCAGACCCTTTGCTATGAGACTCGATATTGAGCTCAGGTGAATCCTGTTTCCATTGATCATCCTTGAGATGTTCCTACAACTTGATTGGAGCCCACCTGTGGTACATTCAATTGATTGGACATGATTTCCCACAGTTGACAGTGCATGTCAGAGCAAAAACCAAGCCATGAGGTCAAAGGAAGTGTCTGTAGAGCTCCGGGACAGGATTGTGTTGAGGCGCAGATCTGGGGAAGGGTAACAAAACATTTCTGTAGCATTGGAGGTCCCCAAGAACACAGTGGCCTCCATCATTCTTAAATGGAAGAAGTTTGGAACCACCAACACTCTTCCTAGAGCTGGCGGCCCGGCCAAACTGAGCAATCAGGGGAGAAGGGCCTTGGTAATGGAGGTGACCAAGAAGCCAATGGAGTTACTCTGTGGAGATGGGAGAACCTTCCAGAAGGACAACCATCTCTGCAGCACTCCACCAATCAGGCCTTTATGGTAGAATGACCAGACAGAAGCCACTCCTCAGTAAAAGGCACATAACAGCCCGCTTGGAGTTTGCCAAAAGGCACCTAAAGGACTCTCAGACCATGAGAAACAAGATTCTCTGGTCTGATGAAACCAAGATTGAACTCTTTGGCCTGAATGCCAAGCGTCACGTCTGGAGGAAACCTGGCACCATCCCTACAGTGAAGAATGGTGGTAGCAGCATCATGCTGTAGGGATGTTTTTCAGCGGCAGGGACTGGGAGACTAGTCAGGATCGAGGGAAAGATGAACGGAGCAAAGTACAGCGAGATCCTTGATGAAGTCCTGATCGCTCTGGAGCAGGTTCTCAGACTGGGGCGAAGGTTCACCTTCCAACAGGACAGTGACCCTAAGCACACAGCCAAGACAACACATGAGTGGCTTCGGGTCAAGTCTCTGAATGTCCTTGAGTGGCCCAGCCAGAGCCCAGACTTGAACCCGATCGAACATCTCTGGGGAGACCTGAAAATAGCTGTGCCGCGACGCTCCCCATCCAATCTGACAGAGCTTGAGGATCTGCAGGGAAGAATGGGAGAAACTCTCCAAATACAGGTGTGTCATACCCAAGAAGATTCAAGGCTGCAATCGCTGCCAAAGGTGCTTCAACAAAGTACTGAGTAAAGGGTCTGAATAGTTATGTAAATGTGATATCCGTTTTTTATTTTTAATACATTTGCAAACATTTCTAAAAACCTGTTTTTGCTTTGTCATTTTTTAAAACATTTTAGTCATTTAGCAGACGCTCTTATCCAGAGCGACTTACAGTTAGTGAGTGCATACATTCTTCATACTGGCCCCCCGTGGGAAACGAACCCACAACCCTGGCGTTGCAAGTGCCATGCTCTACCAACTGAGCTACAGGGGACTAATGGGGTATTGTGTGTAGACTGATGAGGAAACAAAACTATTTAAATCAATTTTAGAATAAGGCTGTAACTTAACAAAATGTGGAAAAAGTGAAGGGGTCTGAATACTTTCCGAATGCACTGTATATCTAGCTGATATAAATGAAGTAAAACATTTGCTTTGTGTACATCTTGTTTCGTCTCCATTGTTGCCATTGTCATGGCTGGAAGAAGGTTCAGTAAATGGGGAAATGCAGTGTGTGGTAATACAGTAGGGGGGGTGTGAGTGGTTCTCAAATGAAATGTTTTATGCGTTCTCCACATTCTCGTCCTCACAAGAACGTACTCAAGAGATCGTCCTCGGAGAATGCACTTGGAGCATCAGAGTGTGGAGCACGGTAGTATGCATATTGAGGAACACCCATGGTTTCCATGTGTTTGATGCCATTCCATTTGTTCCAGCCATTATTATGAGCCGTCCTCCCCTCAGCAGCCTCCACTGGTGTGTCCCTACCTGCTCCTTGAAGTTGTGCAGGTCCTCCTGTAGTTGTCCCATCCTGCGTCCCAGCTCCTTCTTCACGTGATGTTCTGACTGCAGAGCAGTGGTCAGCTCCATGTTCTCATTGGTCTAGGACGGCAGAGAGACATTCAACACATTTATGAGAAAAAGAAGAAGAAAACACCCTTGCCTTTCTTGCACTAACACTCACACTTCTCTTTTTTTACTAGCACCGACTTTGCTGATAGTTGCTTTATTGAGGAAAAGTTTAACTTACTATGATTGTGATATTTGGTTGTCTCACCTGGCTACCTAGATGAACGTACTAACTAAGTCGCTGTGGATAATGCCTAAAATGTAAATGTAAAATATAAATGTGTGTGTTTTGAATGTGGCTGGATAAGTAATAACAATGTTTCCAGTTCCACCCATTTATTTTATCACCAATCAAACCTAGGCAGATCAGTGAATACTTCAAATAAGTCAACAGGACAGTAAATAGGTAATACTCCTCCTTACCAGTTTGACGAAGCCATTCTGCAGCTCAGCCAGCTGGTCTTTAAGGGTGCGGTTCTGGGCCAGGGCGCGGCTGATGGTGGCCTTGTCACTCTGCACGTCCTCCAGCATGCGCCTGCGGTCCTCTGCATCCTCGGCCCCGCGCTCCGCATGACGCTCCAGCTCCGAGAGACGGGACTCCTGCTCCGAGCACATACGACTCAGCTGCTCGTTGTCGCGTAGCTGTAGCAAGGGAAGGGGAACAACAGTGAGTTTTTGCTTGTGAGACTCTATAACAGGGAAAGGGTGTGCAGGATTTGGTTCCAGCCCGGCACCAACACACCCCATAATTAATCTTATTAGTCAAGACCTTGATGAGACAGGGAGTGTTCAGAGTGCAACATCATAGTTGAGTGTGATATACACAGTGTGTGTTATTATTGCCTGGTAGTGTGTGTGTGTGTGTGTGTGTGTGGGGGGGTTATCACCTGGGCCTGGAACTGTGTGTTGAGTGTGTCTCTCTCCTGCTGCAGGCTGCTGAGGGCTTCCTGGAGGGCCAGTTCACTCTCTGAGGGCCCTGAGGGCTGGGGCTCCGCCTGGGCCTCCGCCTGGGCCTCTCTATCATGGGACAAAAGGGCTGGGGAGGAGACAACAATCCGTTTCTCTCTCTTTCTGAGAATATTCTTCTCCTTTCACCTACAGTACATTTTTCTTTCCTTATGGCAATACAAATCTTTTAATGATAATCATTGACAGGATGAACACAGAAAGCTTGTCTTTGGTAGAAAGCTCTTCTGAGAACCACTGATGTGCAAACCAAGGAGGGTAGCTGCGTGTATCACCTGCAGCGTGCTTCAGGTTTGTGATGTGGGCTTCTAGCTCCTGGATCTGACTGATGCTCCTGTCCCTCTCCTCTGCTATTAGTGTCACCTAAACACACACACACACACGTCAATCAACTCCTTCCTTAAAGTGACTACGTATTTCTAGCATTACGTTCAGAGGCTATGCCAGCTCTATAGGTTCTGCTAATTGGGGTGGTAGCATAGTGTACCTGAGAGAGCAGCTGCTCTGTCTTGTCCTTCCATACTTGTCCCTCCTCCTGGATCTGCTCAGCGTAGGTGTCTCTCTCTGTCTGCAGCTGGGCCACCGACTCCATCAACTATAGATGATACCAAAAGACCATTAACACAATGGCATGGCGCTCAAACATTAAAGAGAGGCATACACACGTTTGTAAATGTCGGCAGGTAGCCTAGCGGTTAGTGTTGGGCCAGTAACTGAAAGGTTGCTAGTTCGAATCCCAGAGTTGACACAGTGAAATATCTATCAATGTGCCCTTGAGCAAGGCACTTAATCCTAATTGCTCCAGGGTTGCTGTTGATAATGCAGACTCTGACCCTACTCTCCGAGGGTGTCTCAGGGAGAGTTGGGATATGCAAAAAAATACATTTCCAATTCAAATAGGACAATTATAAGCGACCACCAAAAGTTACTATAAATGTGTCGTTATCTTGAATCAGTTCTAGGTGAATTCATCCCACACAATGCGCGCGCACACACACACACACCTACCTGAGCAGTGTGCGCCTCAATCTGTAATTTCTCCTCCAGTAGTAACTGCATCTGCTGGTTGGCACTGGGAGGCCCTGACTGACTGGAAAACTAAGAATAAAAAAACAAAGAGAGAATTGAACAAATGATGATGATGACCGTGTGTGTATGGTGTGAGAGTGAGAGTCAGTGAGAGTGTGTGTACCAACCTGTTGCAGCATGACGTCGGCCATCTCAAGTCTCTTGCGCAGTTCGTCCAGGTCCAGTCTCAAAGCGCTGTTCTCACTCACCCTCAGCTTGAGCTGCTCTGACAGCTCTGAACTCTGCTGCCTCCCCTCCTCACTCACACTACTGCACAGGGACGGAGAGATATAGGCGGTTGGAACGTACACACACACAGCCTCTGAATTGCCTAACCTACTCATAGATGACAGGCATCTCTCTCCCTGTATCACAATCACGCACACGGTGTGGTTTCCACTATATTCCTTTTCCTACCTAGTCCACAAAGCAAACAAGCAAATATGATAAAAGGCCAGCCATTTACAGTGGGGGAAAAAAGTATTTAGTCAGCCACCAATTGTGCAAGTTCTCCCACTTAAAAAGATGAGAGAGGCCTGTAATTTTCATCATAGGTACACGTCAACTATGACAGACAAAATGAGAGAAAAAAATCCAGAAAATCACATTGTAGGATTTTTTATGAATTTATTTGCAAATTATGGTGGAAAATAAGTATTTGGTCAATAACAAAAGTTTCTCAATACTTTGTTATATACCCTTTGTTGGCAATGACACAGGTCAAACGTTTTCTGTAAGTCTTCACAAGGTTTTCACACACTGTTGCTGGTATTTTGGCCCATTCCTCCATGCAGATCTCCTCTAGAGCAGTGATGTTAAAACAACTCCCTCCAAAGATTTTCTATGGGGTTGAGATCTGGAGACTGGCTAGGCCACTCCAGGACCTTGAAATGCTTCTTACGAAGCCACTCCTTCGTTGCCCGGGCGGTGTGTTTGGGATCATTGTCATGCTGAAAGACCCAGCAACGTTTCATCTTCAATGCCCTTGCTGATGGAAGGAGGTTTTCACTCAAAATCTCACGATACATGGCCCCATTCATTCTTTCCTTTACACGGATCAGTCGTCCTGGCCCCATTCATTCTTTCCTTTACACGGATCAGTCGTCCTGGTCCCTTTGCAGAATAACAGCCCCAAAGCATGATGTTTCCACCCCCATGCTTCACAGTAGGTATGGTGTTCTTTGGATGCAACTCAGCATTCTTTGTCCTCCAAACACGACGAGTTGAGTTTTTACCAAAAAGTTATATTTTGGTTTCATCTGACCATATGACATTCTCCCAATCGTCTTCTGGATCATCCAAATGCACTCTAGCAAACTTCAGACGGGCCTGGACATGTACTGGCTTAAGGAGGGGGACACGTCTGGCACTGCAGGATTTGAGTCCCTGGCGGCGTGGTGTGTTACTGATGGTAGGCTTTGTTACTTTGGTCCCAGCTCTCTGCAGGTCATTCACTAGGTCCCCCCGTGTGGTTCTGGGATTTTTGCTCACCGTTCTTGTGATAATTTTGACCCCACGGGGTGAGATCTTGCGTGGAGCCCCAGATCAAGGGAGATTATCAGTGGTCTTGTATGTCTTCCATTTCCTAATAATTGCTCCCACAGTTGATTTCTTCAAACCAAGCTGCTTACCTATTGCAGATTCAGTCTTCCCAGCCTGGTGCAGGTCTACAATTTTGTTTCTGGTGTCCTTTGACAGCTCTTTGGTCTTGGCCATAGTGGAGTTTGGAGTGTGACTGTTTGAGGTTGTGGACAGGTGTCTTTTATACTGATAACAAGTTCAAACAGGTGCCATTAATACAGGTAACGAGTGGAGGACAGAGGAGCCTCTTAAAGAAGAAGTTACAGGTCTGTGAGAGCCAGAAATCTTGCTTGTTTGTAGGTGACCAAATACTTATTTTCCACCATAATTTGCAAATAAATTCATTAAAAATCCTACAATGTGATTTTCTGGATTTTTTTTCCTCAATTTGTCTGTCATAGTTGACGTGTACCTATGATGAAAATTACAGGCCTCTCTCATCTTTTTAAGTGGGAGAACTTGCACAATTGGTGGCTGACTAAATACTTTTTTCCCCCACTGTAATTGAATGGAAGCATACTCAAGGTAAGACTTACTTTAGTCTGTACACCTCTAGCCTCAGGTTGTCTCTCTCTTTCTCTAGCTCTTTGTTATGCTGCACAAGAGAACAAGAAAATCAATCATATGTAATGCATTACTGCAAAGCTCAAATCGATGCTCATTACATTAAAGTAACTGTAGCAGAATCAGTCTGGTGTGTTTGTGTGTGAGAATGTAAATTACCTTCTCAAAACTGTCTCTGTTCAGTGTGTGACAGTAAGTTACCTTGTCAAACTGTTTCTGTTGCGTGGAGACGGAGGACAGGGTTCTCTCCAGTTCGGAGACTCTCTGTTTGGTGGCCTGGAGACGGTTACTCAGCTCCTCAGCCTCCCCTGAAAAATACACAACATCAGCTTTCTGACCACCAAAACAAATAGACTTTTACACACATTCATATTACACACATCAACAGCCTCTTTCTCCTCAGCCTCCCGTGAAAACACACCACATTACTGAGAATGTTCACATACATACACGCTCACATTCATAGACATACATCAGAGACTTGGACGATTAAATGCTTTCTCTTTCTCACACAGGGTACACACACTTACCTGTTTTCTGGCGGGCAGCCTGCTGTGTGTATGACAGTGCGGTCTGCAGCTCTGATTTCTCCGACACCAGGATGCCGATGGTCTGGATGTGGACCTAGAGAAGAGGATGGACAGACGCATGACACAATCTTTAAATAAACAGATATAACCTTACATAGAATCATGCCATTGGTGTCATTGCACTGCATCATCCCCATCATTTATCAGAGATACAAATCAAAGCTTTGTTTCACTTGGAATGACAAGAATGTATTTTGTTCTGTGTATCAGTGCGTACATCCCTGGGTAAATAGGCAACAACACATGGTGTATTGGCACTTAAGGCAGATACATAGCACACTGCTGCTCTTTAATTAAAAATTTTAATTTGCGTTATCTATTTTTTACTGAACACTTATTTTTCTTAAAACTGCATTGTTGGTTAAGGGCTTGTAAGTAAGCATTTCACTGTAAGGTCTACACCTGTTGTAAAAAATACTATTTGATTTGATTTGATCTGGAACTGCAGAGTGAAATGAGAGAATTGCTTTTAAAGGTCTTCAAACGGATTCAGAGAAGTGCTCTGAGAGGATGAAAAACCTTGAAGAAGTTTCTTCTTATTAATGTGTGTGTACCTGTAATTGTTCTCGCATGGCTCCTTGCTCCCTCACACATTTCTGTTCAAACTCCTTTCGCTCCTGTTTAAAGAAAGCACACAGAAAACATAGTCATCATCCACTGAGGAGAGAAAGATAGTCTTTCTACATTGAACAAGAATATAAACGCAACAAACAACAATTTCAAAGATTTTACTGAGTTACAGTTCATATAAGGAAATCAGTCAATTGAAATAAATTCATTAGGCCCTAATCTATGGATTTCGCATTACTGGGAATACAGATATGCATCTGTTGGTTACAGATACCTTTAAAAAAAGGTAGGGGTGTGAACCAGAAAACCAGTCAGTACACCATTTGCCTCATACAGCACAACACATCTCCTTTGCATAGTTGATCAGGCTGTTGATTGTGGCCTGTGGAATGTTGTCCCACTCCTCTTCAATAGCTGTGCAAAGTTACTGGATATTGGTGCGAAATGGAACACACAGTCGTACACGTTGATCCAGAGCATCCCAAACATGCTGAAATGGGTGACATGTCTGGTGAGTATGCAGGCCATGAAAGAACTGGGACATTTTCAGCTTCCAGGAATTGTGTACAGATCATTGCGACATGGGGCCGTGCATTATCATGCTGAATCATGAGGTGATGGCAGCGGATGAATGGCATGACAATGGGCCTCAGGATCTCGTCACGGTATCTCTGTGCATTCAAATTGCCATCGATAAAATCCAATTGTGTTTGTTGTATGTAGCTTATGCCTGCCCATACCATAACCCCACCGCCACCATGGGGCACTCTGTTCACAACGTTGACATCAGCAAACCGCTTGCCCACACAATGCCATACACGCGGTCTGCCATCTGCCCAGTACAGTTGAAACCGGATTCATCCGTTAAGAGCACACTTCTCCAGCGTGCCAGTGGCCATTGAAGGTGAGCATTTGCCCACTGAAGTCGGTTACGATGCCAAACTGCAGTCAGATCAAGACTCTGGTGAGGATGACGAGCACGCAGATGAGCTTCCCTGAGAAGGTTTCTGACAGTTTGTGCAGAAATTATTTGGTTGTGCAAACCCACAGTTTCATCAGTTGTCCGGGTTTATGGGTCTCAGACGATCCAGCAGGTGAAGAAGCAGGATGTGATCTGCGGTTGTGAGGCCGGTTGGACATACTGCCAAATTCTCTAAAATGACATTGGAGGCGGCTTATGGTAGAGAAATTACCATTCAATTCTCTGCCAACAGCTCTGGTGGACATTCCTGCAGTCAGCATGCCAATAGCACACTCTTTCAAAACTTGAGACATCTGTGGCATTGTGTTGTGTGACAAAACTGCAGATTTTAGAGTGGACTTTTATTGTCCCCAGCACAAGGTGCACCTGTGTAATGATCATGCTGTTTACTCAGCTTCTTGATATGCCACACCTGTCAGGTGGATTATCTTGGCAATGGAGAAATGCTCACTAACAGGGATGTAAACAAATTTGTGCACAACATTTGAGAGAAACAAGCTTTTTGTGCATACGGAACATTTCTTGGATCTTTTATTTCAGTTCATGAAACGTGGGACCAACACTTTAGATGTTGCGTTTATATTTTTGTTCAGTATATTTATGCTCACCTTTTGCAGCTGATCTGTGAGCTCCTGAGATTGCATGGTCTGTCAGACAAACAGGACAGAGGACAATCAGTGACATAAGCATCATCCCCAACTCAGACTCCAAACCACCACCATCTATACTAAATCAGCCATCAAACCATACAACATGTCATCTCCTTTCACTCTTCAGGGGTCAAATACCTATTGAGCACCTCCCATTGTCAGAGCAGCACAGCAGCTTACTAGCCTAGTCAGTGGGGTTAGCGACAGTTAGCTGTTAGCAACCTAGCGCCAGAAGCAATATCAGTGCAGTCTATTATTAATGACTGACAAAAACATTCCCTCATTTCATTCATTGTCGAGATCTTGGTGAGCATGTAAAAGCTTGGTGGTTACAAACGAGAACAGTGCAGTGCAATTAAATGATTTGTGAGGTGAATAAACAAAACCATGCATGCCATGATCAACTGACAGTGCTGCCACTCAGCACAGCTGCGGGTTAGCCAACGTGTTAAGTGTCACGTCATTCGCTACCTGCTAGTCAATCTGTGGCCAGTCAGTGTCCTTGGTGTGGTATGAGTCTTGCTATGGGGGCTGTGAGGGGTTATTTACTGAACGCCCAACTCCCAAGCATGCGCACACACACACACTCACACTCTTACCAGCAGGTCTAGCTTGGTATTGAGCTGAGAGTTTGTTAGGTTGCTGGAGTCCAGTGCGGTTGCCAGCTCCTGGTTTCGACTCTGACATGCGCACATGCAACAACAACAAAAAAAGAGAAGGGGAGGGAGGATAGGAAGAAAGGAGTGAATTGAAGTGAAAGAAATGAAAAACAGATGGGAAGAGGAGAAATACAAACAGTAAATCATTAATGTGAAAGTAAATAACACTCTCTTGGTCTCCTTCAGAGATGTAAAATGTGAACAGCAGGTATTTGGTCCTACTAGTACTCAGTGAGGTAATACAGTGAGGACAGGGGCAGAGGTAGCTAGTGGAACATGCAGTAATACATGAACAGACTGGAGTGTGCAATCTAATGTGACAGACAGGGTTACACAGCTGATTAAAAATAATCAAAGTTTGATGATGAGTTGGTTATTTGAATCAGCTGTGTAGTGCTAGGGCAAACACCAAAATGTGCACCCACATCCATGAACTACACAACCATGGTAAGAACATAAAAGTTCCTAATGTGATCTCAGCCAATTTAACAAGTTACAAACTAGTAGTCACTATAACATGTTGTATCCTTTAAAATCCTAAGGAGATAGTAACACCTATAGCCAGCTCCAATCAAGGCTTTGGAATTGTTATTTCCTAAAAAAGAGAGAGTCCATTCTCTATATAGACTGCATCAAACTGCAACTGTGTGTGTAATCCGAGCCTGGACGCAGGGCCGGAACAGGCAGAGGGAGAGTGGTCATGTGAGCTGTGTGGCCGGGGCCAGTCACATTCCTGCACGGAGAGCAAGAACTGAGGGATTGTGAGAGAGGAGAGGAGGGGCTTGTGTGGAGTGAGAGCAGACAGAGGATAGGACACTACATAACCTGGGGCTACACACACCACAAGATTTCTCTGGTGTGTGTGGATGTTTGTATGTAGACACACTGGACACACACACACACACACACACACACACACACACGGAGGGGAGTGAACATCATGTACTGAGGCTGATTCAAATGCCATGAGGCTTAACAACGGGCAACTTCAAATGGGGAGAGAATGGGACTGGGTTTGTCTGATCAGGACAAATAATGGATAGCATTTTATAGCAACGTGTGGTGATGTGTCACTTACCTCCAGTTCTTTTTTATTGGCAGGCGAGGGAGCACTGTCTCCATTTACATAGGTGGTGGATGACTAGAATAGATAGGAAAGAAACAAAACAAGTCGAACCACAATATAGCAAGCTTCTCAAAGCCAATGAGAGTATCACAAATAGCACTCCTGATTATGCAATGCACTAAACCAGGAGCAAGCAAATATCCAAACCAAGTAAGATAGTGTATCATCATTGGGAGGGACTTGCACTTATCCAATGCACACTTCTCAGGGGGTCGACTGCAGTTTAAAAGCCTAATTTATCCTGTTTGTGGCCATAAAGTACACGCATACCCCAGAGAGCAGGCCGTTGAGCTGCTGGGAGAGCTGCCGCAGGCTCTCTGTGGACGACAGGGGTCTGGCGCGCGCACACACACACACACACACACACACACACACACACACACACACACACACACACACACACACACACAACATTAGCCCAATGTTACAGTAACACACCAGTCTTATTGGTTAATGGAGCATTTAATATGTGACAAACTGCACTGCCAGCCTTCATAACTGTGCTACTTATTCTGTGTGTGTGTGTGTGGTCAACAGCTGCAGGCTGTGAAGGGTAGAGAAGGGGCAGTAAGGACCAGGGGGCACATTCTGAAGGGGAACTGAGTGTGTGTTGGATGACTAGGCGACCCACCTATTCTCATCCGCATGGTTTTCATTGCCGTTGGCGTCAGGGGTGCAGTTCTGCGGCAGAGAGAAGAAGAGAAAGAGAGGAAATTGCTGTGAGTGAAACTGACGGAGGGTGAATAAGTTGTGAGAGATACTAGAAAATATCAAAGCAAGCAACATACCAGGACAAACTGTATTCAGACACAAATGAACACAAGCTAGGCCTATCCATCCTTGTACACTGTTAATAATGACTACTCATTAATAAAAATGTGTGAAGAGAGAGAAAGTGTTGTCACGATAACAGAATTTTGATACTCAATACCATCACAATACCAAGGGAAAAAAAGAAGGCACTTGATCCAGACTGATCTTTTGAGTTCAGTATCAATACATTTGAAATTTTTGATTTTTGAATGAATGCATTAATGATTCAATTATACAATCTAACTACATAACGGTAATCATTTATTTGAATGATAAATCTCTAATCGATTGTTAAACAGGGTAGATCAAGATAGCCTAGGCCTATTCATAATACAGGTGAATGCATATTCAATTGGAGTGTGTGCATGCATTGAGTTATTGAGCTTGTTTTGGCTGAATTCGTGGGGCTACAGATGAAAAAACAATCTGGTTCCCTTCCATTTGTTGACTTATTTTATTGTACTGATCAACAACATTTGCGTAGAAGAAGCAATCTGTTATTTTAATAAAGTGTGCGCTGTCTCTTTAAAACCCATGACATCATTCACTCACAGAGGCTTGAGCAAAGATGATCTTGACTGGGAGAGACACGAGTCAGGGGAGATGAAGTGAATTAAGAAAGTTTTTGGTGACAATCAGCAATACTTTGTGCTATGGTTTGCATATTATCAGAAACAAGGTACTATGATGGTGAGTTGATGTTAGCTTCAGCTGTAAACTAGCAAGGAAAGCTACCAGTATCTTCTTGCATTGTACGTTGTTCTAGCCTGTAATGGACATTGTTTTGCAAACAGTAATGAACAGTTTCAACATTTCTGCATGCCGTATTGCATTATTCAAGTGTGTTAACTTCTGTGCAGCATGAGTGGTAATGCAGCCCAGACGCCCAGTGACTGCAGTAGTTCCTCAGGACAGGCTAGACATGAGTAAGTGGCGCAGGCACTCTCGCGCGATAAGGGGACATCGGCTGCGCTGATAGGTAGACTTGATCCTCCATTAAAATCAGTAAATGATGTGAGACAAATTTGACAGAAGTACCTACAGTAACAAAAATTCAGGTTTTTCAGGTTCTAGTATTGAAAAAGTACAGAAGTTTCGGTATACTGTGCAACACTAAGACAGAGATAGAGCCAGATCGAAGACAGACGGATGGAGGTACACACCTGCTGCAGGTCAGTGTTGTGGGCGTGGCTGACACACTCAGGGTTAGTAGCAGACATAGAGCTAGCAGGGTTAGACACAGGGGAGCCACGGCCAGCCTCTCCGTTTGGGTCCTCCAGTAGCTGGGTGACAGGGGACCTTCTCACCTCCCCATCAACGTGGGCCTGAGGCCGCAATACACACAGACATTACTTTTCATGTTTCCAAATTGCTCGAACCACAAAGGACACACGTACACATGTCCACATCATTCTAACCTACAAAACAAGGTACAGTCAGGCAGCACAATCACAACACATGGACGGACGGACAATCACGCACGCACACACATCTTGTTTTCACTGATGGAGACATGCCAGCATAGTAAATAAACTAAACAAACATCAGGTCCAGAAGTTATAAACATGCAAAACCCACACATCCTACCAAATCAACATCATGCCCCTGATGGACTGACCCAAATCAGAAAAAAAAACTGTTAGCTAGGCTTAATCCTAGCACATTCATAATAAATCAACAATGGCTAAATAATTACCAAGCCCTTCCCTCACTGTAGAGAAATGACTATGATGAGCAACCAGTGACCATAGGGTCATGCAGCATGCAGGAGAGAACAGAAGCAAAAATAACAGAGGGACAGAGAAATAGTAGGGAGGGAATGGGACAGATACAAAGAGAGCGAGATCAAGTGAAAGGTAAGTAGACGGCAAGAAACAGGCGTAAAAGAACAAAAGGGACAAAAGAAGAGATTGCGGGGAAGAGTGAGACCGAGAGAGGGCGAGAGGAAGAAGGCAGGAGAGAGATAGGCTCACCTGGCTGTTGCCATAGGGAGGCAGAGCTACTCCATTGGTCTGACTACAAACTTTCAGAATACTCTGACTCTACGGGAGAGGAGAGGGGGAGTTGAAAAGGGTGAAAGAGAGAGGGACAGTGAATGAGCAAATGAGGGCGGGAGAAAGTGGAAGGGCATTGAAAGAGAAAGATTTGAAAGCCCACAACCTGCAGCTTCATTGCCAGACAATGTTAGCGACTGACTTATCACAATCAGTTCCATCTCTGGAGGTATAGAAAAGATTTGCTCGGTGATAATGTTCCTCCAAGAAAATTACTGTCATTGTGACTGGCTTGATGGGAGCAAAGTCTATAAAAACTGGTTTCCCCACCGGAAGCCTAGGGCAGAAGTTAAAGCAAACAAATACTGCAAAAGATATCCAGGAACTACAGTGTTTTCGGAAAGTATTCAGACCCCTTGACTTTTTCCACATTTTGTTACGTTACAGCCTTATTCTAAAATGGATAAAAAATAATAATCCTCATCAATCTACAGACAATACCCCATATTGACAAAGCAAAAACCAGTTATTTATATATATTTTTTAAATAAAATAAAAATAAAAATATATATATAGGCCCTCCCAAGTGGTGCAGCGGGTCTAAGGCACTGCATCTCAGTGCTAGAGGCGTCACTACAGACCTGGGTTCCATCCCGGCCTGTATCTGATCGGGAGTCCCATAGAGCGGCGCACAATTGGCCCAGGGTCGTCCGGGTTAGGGGAGGGTTTGGCCGGGGGGGCTTTACTTGGCTCATCGCGCTCTAGCGACTCCTTGTGGCGGGCCGGGCGCCTGCAGGCTGTCAGTTGAACGATGTTTCCTCCAACACATTGGTGCAGCTGCCTTCTGAGTTAAGCGGGCGGGTGTTAAGAAGCGCGGTTTGGCGGGTCATGTTTCGAAGAACGCATGACTCGACAGTGCATATCAGAGCAAAAACCAAGCCATGAGGTCGAAGAAATTGTCCGTAGAGCGCCGAGACAGGATTGTGTCGAGGCACAGATCTGGGGAAGGGTACCAAAACATTTCTGCAGCATTGAAGTACCCCATGAACACAGTGGCCTCCATCATTCTTAAATTGAAGAAGCAATCGGAGGAGAAGGGACTTGGTCAGGGAGGTATATATATATATATATATATATATATATATATATATATATATATATATATATATATATATATATATATATATATATATATATATATATATATATATAGTGGGGGAAAAAAGTATTTAGTCAGCCACCAATTGTGCAAGTTCTACCACTTAAAAAGATGAGAGAGGCCTGTAATTTTCAACATAGGTACACGTCAACTATAACAGACAAAATGAGAAAAAAAAAATCCAGAAAATCACATTGTAGGATTTTTAATGAATTTATTTGCAAATTATGGTGGAAAATAAGTATTTGGTCAATAACAAAAGTTTCTCAATACTTTGTTATATACCCTTTGTTGGCAATGACACAGGTCAAACGTTTTCTGTAAGTGTTCACAAGGTTTTCACACACTGTTGCTGGTATTTTGGCCCATTCCTCCATACAGATCTCCTCTAGAGCAGTGATGTTTTGGGGCTGTCGCTGGGCAACACGGACTTTCAACTCCCTCCAAAGATTTTCGATGGGGTTGAGATGTGGAGACTGGCTAGGCCACTCCAGGACCTTGAAATGGTTATTACGAAGCCACTCCTTCGTTGCCCGGGCGATGTGTTTGGGATCATTGTCATGTTGAAAAACCCAGCCACGTTTCATCTTCAATGCCCTTGCTGATGGAAGGAGGTTTTCACTCAAAATCTCATGATACATGGCCCCATTCATTCTTTCCTTTACACGGATCAGTCGTCCTGGTCCCTTTGCAGAAAAACAGCCCCAAAGCATGATGTTTCCACCCCCATGCTTCACAGTAGGTATGGTGTTCTTTGGATGCAACTCAGCATTCTTTGTCCTCCAAACACGACGAGTTGAGTTTTTACCAAAAAGTTCTATTTTGGTTTCATCTGACCATATGACATTCTCCCAATCCTCTTCTGGATCATCCAAATGCACTCTAGCAAACTTCAGACGGGCCTGGACATGTACTGGCTTAAGCAGAGGGACACATCTTGCACTGCATGATTTGAGTCCCTGGCGGCGTAGTGTGTTACTGATGGTAGGCTTTGTTACTTTGGTCCCAGCTCTCTGCAGGTCATTCACTAGGTCCACCCGTGTGGTTCTGGGATTTTTGCTCACCGTTCTTGTGATCATTTTGACCCCACGGGGTGAGATCTTGCGTGGAGCCCCAGATCGAGGGAGATTATCAGTGGTCTTGTATGTCTTACATTTCCTAATAATTGCTCCCACAGTTGATTTCTTCAAACCAAGCTGCTTACCTATTGCAGATTCAGTCTTCCAGCGGTGCAGGTCTACAATTTTGTTCTGGTGTCCTTTGACAGCTTTGGGTTGCATAAGCAACAAAACAGAAGCAAAAATAAGCAGGGCGGGACAGAGAAAATAAAGTAGGGAGGGAATGGGACAGATACAAAGAGAGCGAGATCAAGTGAAAGTAAGTAGACGGCAAGAAACGGCGTAAAAGAACAAAAGGGACAAAAGAAGAGATTGCGGGGAAGAGTGAGACCGGAGAGGGCGAGAGGGAAGAAGGCAGGAGAGAGATAGGCTCACCTGGCTGTTGCCATAGGGAGGCAGAGCTACTCCATTGGTCTGACTACGAACTTTCAGAATACTCTGACTCTACGGGAGAGGAGAGGGGGAGTTGAAAAGGGTGAAAGAGAGAGGGACAGTGAATGAGCAAATGAGGGCGGGAGAAAGTGGAAGGGCATTGAAAGAGAAAGATTTGAAAGCCCACAACCTGCAGCTTCATTGCCAGACAATGTTAGCGACTGACTTATCACAATCAGTTCCAATCTCTGGAGGTATAGAAAAGATTTGCTCGGTGATAATGTTCCTCCAAGAAAATTACTGTCATTGTGACTGGCTTGATGGGAGCAAAGTCTATAAAAACTGGTTTCCCCACCGGAAGCCTAGGGCAGAAGTTAAAGCAAAACAAATACTGCAAAAGATATCCAGGAACTACAGTGTTTTCGGAAAGTATTCAGACCCCTTGACTTTTTCCACATTTTGTTACGTTACAGCCTTATTCTAAAATGGATAAAAAATAATAATCCTCATCAATCTACAGACAATACCCCATAATGATAAAGCAAAAACCAGTTATTTATATATATATTTTTTTATAAAATAAAAAATATATATAGGCCCTCCCAAGTGGTGCAGCGGACTAAGGCACTGCATCTCAGTGCTAGAGGCGTCACTACAGACCTGGGTTCCATCCCGGACTGTATCTGATCGGGAGTCCCATAGAGCGGCGCACAATTGGCCCAGCGTCGTCCGGGTAGGGGAGGTTTGGCCGGGGGGGCTTTACTTGGCTCATCGCGCTCTAGCGACTCCTTGTGGCGGGCCGGGCGCCTGCAGGCTGTCAGTTGAACGATGTTTCCTCCGACACATTGGTGCAGCTGCCTTCTGAGTTAAGCGGGCGGGTGTTAAGAAGCGCGGTTTGGCGGGTCATGTTTAGAAGAACGCATGACTCGACAGTGCATATCAGAGCAAAAACCAAGTCATGAGGTCGAAGAAATTGTCCGTAGAGCGCCGAGACAGGCACAGATCTGGGGAAGGGTACCAAAACATTTCTGCAGCATTGAAGTACCCATGAACACAGTGGCCTCCATCATTCTTAAATTGAAGAAGCAATCGGAGGAGAAGGGCCTTGGTCAGGGAGGTATATATATATATATATATATATATATATATATATACACACACACACACACACCACATACACAGTACCAGTCAAAAGTCATCATCAAGGCAAAGGGTGGCTATCTGAAGAATCTCAAATATATTTTGATTTATTTAACACTTTTTGGGTTACTACATGATTCCATGTGTTATTTCATAGTTTTGATGTCTTCACTATTATTCTACAAAAAGTAAAAATAAAGAAAAACCCTTGAATGAGTAGGTGTGTGCAAACTTTTGACTGGTAGTGTATATCTGGGTCTGAATACTTATGTACATTTTATATAATAAATTTGCAAACATTTCTAAAAACCTGTTTTTGCTTTGTCATTATGGGGTATTGTGTGTAGATTGATGAGGGGGAAAAAAACAATTTAATCCATTTTAGAATAAGGCTGTAATGTAACAAAATGTGGAAAAAGGCAAGGGGTCTGAATACTTTCCGAATACACTGTATATAATTATTACAGTAACCATCGACTGTCCCTTACCCCCCCCACCCACATTCCTATGAAACAATTGCCAATCTGATGTCATTCTAATATGATTAAACGCACATTAACATAATCATATTGATTCTTATCCAAACAGAAGGGTGTGTGTGTTAAGACGCAACGTCCTGACGGGAATACAAATTGACAGAGCATGATAGTATGTTATTGCCTGACGAAGACACGTCCTTTGATCGATGGAGCATAGCTGCATTTCACATTCCATAATCTGACATAAATGACAAACACTGACAGTAAACTTGCAAAGGGATACACTCACACACACATGAAAAATGTGCAGCTGCACTGGAACATTCAATGTTATTCCAGAGCAGAAGTATCATCAGACTGCTTTCTTGCACTTGTCGGCAAGTGAAATCTTGCAAAGAAGCAGTGTTGCAGTGTGCATGAACAGCACTCAGTCATCACACACACATACATACATACATACATACATACATACAACGGGCATGCAGCTGGGTGACTCACATTGTCTGGAGAGTGTCGGTCAGCCGAGGGTGTGTCTGGTTGGCTCCCTCCCTTCCTCTTCTTCTTGGCACCTGGTCCTCCTCCTCCATTTCCACCCCCTCCTCCACTGGCAGGAGAACTCTTCTGCTGAAACTCCTTCAGCTGCCCGGCACAAGAGAGGAGGGGAAGAGGACAATGAGAGCTCTCAACTGTCTGGAACTCACACTTTTGCTAGGCTAAGCACATTAGCAGAATAATTATATTGCATAGGAAGTACAGAGAGCCTTGGTGTGGCTTACAATAGTGTGAATATTCAGAAAGAGCCCATGTGATTTGACTACAGTATGCACTGAGCAGTTGTTCCTGGTATGGGTGACAATGGAATTACTATTTAGAAAGATCAAATACTGTCCAACAAGATCTTATAGCATAACCAATTGCTGTAATAGCTGAAGATTGAGGAAGGTACTTTTAGTTTTAAAATGTGAAATGAGAACCCCCCTGCACAAGTGTGATTGTTTTTAAACGTGTAATGGTAGAGCATGCGCCCACATGCACAAGGTTGTGCTGTGACAGCTGTCATGAGACAAATTAGGGAAACGCCATCACACAGAGATAGGAATGCCATCTGAAATTCCTGAGTTGGATCTCAACAACAGTACGTGGTTATCACCATGTCGAAAGAGATAGTAGGCGACGCAAATGCTGACTTGAGCAAGACAACTATTCTTCAAACAAAATAGCTTGATTTGATTAGCTATCTAGATACAGAATTTATAGGTAGCTAGCTACTGAGAGAGCGTCTGCTGTCAAAACTACGCGTCACGTTACTCTTCACTGACACATTGCTTCCTGTCAAACATGACTCAATAGATTATAACTAAGCAAACATTTTATAGTTAGCCAAGGTAACATTATCTTTAGTCTGACAGGCCATTTCATTAATTATAGTGACACTAGCAGGCACGCTAGGTGAAATTTGAATGTTTATTGGACTGTCAGACAGCTAGCATTCCTAGTTATCGTAGCTAGCTAACTAAAGTTACACGAAGTGAATGTAAGCAAGTCTAAACAAAGAACACCCCATTCTATGTAATATTGTGTTAGCTAGCATCAATCATCTTGTGCCAACTGGCTTTGTACTACCTGTCAATTAATTGATAGTTAGCTAAATCGCTATGGCTAGCTAACATCAGCAAACGTTAGTTGACCAACTGGGTTGATCAAATTACAGAAGGTTTGTACATAGGGAGCAGTACCATTGGCAAAGTTGACAAGTCCCTGCCCGGTATAAATCGTCCACATAATCTTACTATAATGCTACGATTAGAGGCCCAAGCAAAGCCTCGGTATTTCGTGCGCATTAACAGTCACAGCAGGATGCGAGTTGGGATGGGCGACTGCAGACAGGTCCGAGGACGTGGAATGTCAACATCACACGGGTTCGTGAAAACTTTAAACTACTGACAACTCGAATCCAGAACAGAGTAATGGATGAAATACCTGTTATATTCGCTGTGAAATGGGGAATTCAAATTTGTACCTTTTTCTTGGCTGCGGCGAGTTTGATTTGCCTGCTCTGGTCGGCCATCCTTCACGTCCGGTAGGGGAACCGCACCACGTCATCAATTTGGGAACAGTCGGTGACGCAAGAAGGTATCTTGCCGCTAGGGGGCGGAAAAGCTCCCTCGGAAATATAATAAAATATGTTAATAACTAACCCAAGATAGTGGGCAGAGCCAAGCAGCTAGCGAGATCCTGTTGGCGCGTTCTGGCATGTATTTGCATATTTCCGCCCTTGCACTCCTAAAACAACACACATTTTTAAAACTTTGGCAAAGAGTAAAGTACACTCTGTTTGTAACAGATTTCAATTTTGGGAACAGAAAACTGTATTGATATTAGCTAACTATCAATGAACTGATAGGTAGGTAGCACAAAGCACAAAGCTAGTAGGCACAAGATGATTGATGCTAGCCAGGTAGCTAATGCAATATTACATAGAATGGGGTGTTCTGTGTTTAGACTTGCTTACTGTCACTATGTGTAACATTAGTTAGCTAAGTTAACTTGCTAGGAATGCTAGCTGTCTGACTATCCAAGAAACATTCAAATGTCACTTAGCGTCCCTGTAATGCTTAGAGAAGATCTCATGTCAAGTGTTATTGAAGTGCTGTGGTTGCAGGTTCACCTGCCTCCTCTAAAGCCAATTATTTTTGAGGTTTTACTATAGGCCACCAAGTGCTAACAGTCAGTATCTAAATAATGTGTGAAATGCTTGATAGTGTATGTGATGTAAACAGAGGTCTACCTTCTTGGTGACCTGAATATTGACTGGTTTTCATCAAGCTGTCCGCACAAGAGGAAGCTTCTCACTGTAACCAGTGCCTGTAATCTGGTTCAGGTTATAAATCAATCTACTAGGGTGTTTACAAAAACTACAGGAACAAGATCATCCACATGTATTGATCACAGTTTTACTAATACTGTATAACGTTGTTCTAAAGCTGTATCTGTTCACATTGGATGCAGTGATCACAATATAGTGGCTAAATCTAGGAAAGCCAAAGTTCCAAAAGATGGGCCTAAAATAGTGTATAAGAGATCGTACAAAAGATTTTGCTGTGACTCTTATGTGGATGATGTTAAAAATATTTTATGGTCTGATGTGATTAATAACGAGCATCCAGATGCTGCACTTGATGAATTTATGAGATTGCTTCCTCCAATTATTGATAAACATGCACCTGTTAAGAAACTGACTGTTAGAACTGTGAAGGCTCCATGGATTGATGAGGAATTGAAAAATTGTATGGTTGAAAGAGATGGGGCAAAAGGAGTGGCTAATAAGTCTGGCTGCACAGCTGACTGGCTGACTTACTGCAGATTGAGAAATTATGTGGCTACACTCAACAAAAAGAAGAAACTATGAAGCCTAGATCAATGATATAAAGAATGATGGAAAAAAAAAACTGAGTACTTTAAATGAAATGATGGGCAGAAAGACCAATTCATCTCCATCTTTCATCAAAGTGGGCAAACTTAGGCAAGAAATGCCAACAATTACATGAAAATGTAGGATTCTGAATTTACTGTTATGTCATATCAGGGTGGGATTATTACAATGAACAACAATCAAGACAACACCGGCTAATCATACATTTTATTACAAAAAACAAAACCATAATTTTACACTGGAATTAGCTAGTCAACAAAAGTGTTAAGAGAATTCGCTTGAAAACATCTGGACAAGACTCTTCACTGTGTTTTTCTAAAACAGAACAGTCTGACATCAATTCCAAGTTAGTCCGTGTGCTGAGAGAATTCCTTCAGAGCCCAAGTCTTGGTGTCAATCTCCTGACGCAGTCTGGAATATTCCTCGGCTAGAGCCTCAAATTCCTTGCCAAATATCTCAAAGGACGACAGTTTGCACTCCACAGACTGCTTCTCTAACTGGGAGGCGTTCAGCTGTATTTCTAGCTTCTCCCTGCAATGAAGACAAACAAGAACAAGTATTGAGTGCGAGAGGCAGGTGTAACTACACTGAACAAAAATATAAAACGCAACAATTTCAAAGATTTACAGTTCATACAAGGAAATCAGTCAATTGAAAGAAATTAATTTAGGCCCCAATCTATGGATTTCACGTGACTGGGAATACAGTTGTTGGTCACAGATACCTTTAAAAAAAGTTTGGGCGTGGATCAGAAAATCTGTCAATATCTGGTATGACCACCATTTGCCTCATGCAGCGCAACACATCTCCTTCGCATAGAGTTGATCAGGCTGTCGATTGTTGCCTGTGGAATGTTGTCTCACCCCTCTTCAATGGTTGTGTTGCGGATGACACACAGCTGTACATTTCAATGAAGCATGGTGAAGCCCCAAAATTGCCCTCGCTAGAAGCCTGTGTTTCAGACATAAGGAAGTGGATGGCTGAAAACTTTTTACTTTTAAACTCGGACAAAACAGAGATGCTTGTTCTAGGTCCCAAGAAACAAAGAGATCTTCTGTTAAATCTGACAATTAATCTTGATGGTTGTAAAGTCGTCTCAAATAAAACTGTGAAGGACCTAGGCGTTACTCTTGACCCTGATCTCTCTTTTGACGAACATATCAAGACTGTTTCAAGGACAGCTTTTTTCCATCTACGTAACATTGCAAAAATCAGAAATTTTCTGTCCAAAAATGATGCAGAAAAATTAATCCATGCATTTGTTACTTCTAGGTTAGACTACTGCAATGCTCTATTTTCCGGCTACCCGGATAAAGCACTAAATAAACTTCAGTTAGTGCTAAATACGGCTGCTAGAATCCTGACTAGAACCAAGAAATTTGATCATATTACTCCAGTGCTAGCTTCCCTACACTGGCTTCCTGTTAAGGCAAGGGCTGATTTCAAGGTTTTACTGTTAACCTATAAAGTGTTACATGGGCTTGCTCCTACCTATCTTTCCGAGTTGGTCCTGCCGTACATACCAATACGTACGCTACGGTCACAAGACGCAGGCCTCCTAATTGTCCCTAGAATTTCTAAGCAAACAGCGGGAGGCAGGGCTTTCTCCTATAGATCTCCATTTTTATGGAACAGTCTGCCTACCCATGTGAGAGACGCAGACTCGGTCTCAACCTTTAAGTCTTTACTGAAGACTTATCTCTTCAGTAGGTCATATGATTGAGTGTAGTCTGGCCCAGGAGTGTGAAGGTGAACGGAAAGGCTGGAGCAACGAACAGCCCTTGCTGTCTCTGCCAGGCCGGTTCCCCTCTCCACTGGGGTTCTCTGCCTCTAACCCTGTTGCAGGGGCTGAGTCACTGGCTTGCTGGTGCTCTTTCATGCCGTCCCTGGGAGGGGTGCGTCACTTGAGTGGGTTGAGTTACTGACGTGATCTTCCTGTCTGGGTTGGCGCCCCCCCCCTGGTTTGTGCTGTGGTGGAGACCTCTGTGGGCTATACTCGGCCTTGTCTCAGGATTGTAAGTTGGTGGTTGGGGATATCCCTCTAGTGGTGCGGGGGCTGTGCTTTGGCGGAGTGGGTGGGGTTATATCCTTCCTGTTTGGCCCTGTCCGGGGGTTTCTTCGGATGGGGCCACAGTGTCTCCGGACCGCTCCTGTCTCAGCCTCCAGTATTTATGCTGCAGTAGTTTATGTGTCGGGGGGCTGGGGTTAGTTGGTTATACCTGGAGTACTTCTCCTGTCTTATCCAGTGTCCTGTGTGAATTTAAGTATGCTCTCTCTAATTCTCTCGTTCTCTCTTTCTCTCTGAGAACCTGAGCCCTAGGACCATACGTCAGGACTACCGGGCATGATGACACCTTGCTGTCCCCAGTCCGCCTGGCCTTGCTGCTATTCCAGTTTCAACTGTTCTGCCTGCGGCTACGAAACCCCTACCTGTCCCAGACCTGCTGTTTTCAACTCTTAATGATCGGCTATGAAAAGCCAACTGAGAGACCTGAGCCCTAGGACCATACGTCGGGACTACCGGCCGTGGTGACTCCTTGCTGTCCCCAGTCCGCCTGGCCTTGCTGCTATTCCAGTTTCAACTGTTCTGCCTGCGGTTATGGAACCCCTACCTGTCCCAGACCTGCTGTTTTCAACTCTTAATGATCGGCTATGAAAAGCCAACTGAGATTTATTCCTGATTATTATTTGACCATGCTTGTCACTTATGAACATTTTTGAACATCTTGGCATGGTTCTGTTATAATCTCCACCCGGCACAGCCAGAAGAGGACTGGCCACCCCTCATAGCCTGGTTCCTCTCTAGGTTTCTCCTAGGTTTTGCCGAGCATGCAGAAAGATGCAGAAATAAGGGCTGCAAGAGCAAGACGTACATGAGATGTACCAAATGCAAGATGTTCCTCTGCATTACCAAAAGAGAAATTGCTTCCAGACTTTCACCACTAACAAAGAAAATACTAAGAACAAAATGAAGAGTGAAGGAAAAAGCTAGATTGGATTCAGTTTGACAGAAGGAAAAAATCCAAAATAAATCTGTTACACATTAGTTATATGTTCATTGTTCAAATAACACTGAAAGGATTCAAGGGGACCAATCAAAGGATATGGACATAACAAAGTGTTAAGCTTTAATAGTAAAGCTATCCTTGCGAAATGTAAGGAAAAGGATTCAAGAATGATTAATGTGTATTGTATAATCAAAATGTCTGTATTCTTGGATAATAATCAATCTACAGCCCAAAATGTATGTATTCTTAGTTCATAAAAACTCTGTAATCTGTAAGAACTCTGTAAAAATTTGTATCTACCAAATGTGTCTCTTTTCGTACTCAAATGATCCTGTTGTCCACTACAGTGGACATGCTGTAAAATAAAAAATAAAAATAAAAATGTGGAAATTGTAGGATGCTTTTTTTAACCCTAAACAGTTATTGAATCACAAAAAAATATGATTAGGAAAAACAATATTTTCCTTGGTTCTCAGGAGGATATAGTGGCTAAATCTAGGAAAGCCAAAGTTCCAAAAGCTGGGCCTAAAATAGTGTATAAGAGATCGTACAAAAGATTTTGCTGTGACTCTTATGTGGATGATGTTAAAAATATTTTATGGTCTGATGTGATTAATAACGAGCATCCAGATGCTGCACTTTAAGAATTTATGAGATTGCTTCCTCCAATTATTGATAAACATGCACCTGTTAAGAAACTGACTGTTAGAACTGTGAAGGCTCCATGGATTGATGAGGAATTGAAAAATGGTATGGTTGAAAGAGATGGGGCAAAAGGAGTGGCTAATAAGTCTGGCTGCACAGCTGACTGGCTGACTTACTGCAGATTGAGAAATGATGTGGCTACACTCAACAAAAAGAAGAAACTATGAAGCCTAGATCAATGATATAAAGAATGATGGAAAAAAAAACCTGAGTACTTTAAATGAAATGATGGGCAGAAAGACCAATTCATCTCCATCTTTCATCAAAGTGGGCAAATTTAGGCAAGAAATGCCAACAATTACATGAAAATGTAGGATTCTGAATGTACTGTTATGTCATATCAGGGTGGGATTATTACAATGAACAACAATCAAGACAACACCGGCTAATCATACATTTTATATACACTGGAATTAGCTAGTCAACAAAAGTGTTAAGAGAATTCGCTTGAAAACATCTGGACAAGACTCTTCACTGTGTTTTTCTAAAACAGAACAGTCTGACATCAATTCCAAGTTAGTCCGTGTGCTGAGAGAATTCCTTCAGAGCCCAAGTCTTGGTGTCAATCTCCTGACGCAGTCTGGAATATTCCTCGGCTAGAGCCTCAAATTCCTTGCCAAATATCTCAAAGGACGACAGTTTGCACTCCACAGACTGCTTCTCTAACTGGGAGGCGTTCAGCTGTATTTCTAGCTTCTCCCTGCAATGAAGACAAACAAGAACAAGTATTGAGTGCGAGAGGCAGGTGTAACTACACTGAACAAAAATATAAAACGCAACAATTTCAAAGATTTACAGTTCATACAAGGAAATCAGTCAATTGAAATAAATTAATTTAGGCCCCAATCTATGGATTTCACGTGACTGGGAATACAGTTGTTGGTCACAGATACCTTTAAAAAAAGTTTGGGCGTGGATCAGAAAATCAGTCAATATCTGGTGGGAAAAAATGATTGATGATTGATTGTGTGAAGTTGCTGGATATTGGCGGGAACTCGAACACACTGTCGTACACATCCATCTAAAGCATCCCAAACATTCTGAATGGGTGACATGTCTGGTGAGTATGCAGGCCATGAAAGAACTGGGACATTTTCAGCTTCCAGGAACTATGTACAGATCCTTGCGACATGGGGCAGTGCATTATCATGCTGAAACATGAGGTGATGGCGGCAGATGAATGGCACGACAATGGGCCTCAGGATCTCGTCACGGTCTCTCTGTGCATTCAAATTGCCGTAGATAAAATGCAATTGTGTTTGTTGTCTGTAGCTTATGCCTGCCCATACGATAACCCCACCGCCACCATGGGGCACTCTGTTCACAACATTGACATTAGCAAACCACTCACCCACACAACGCCATACACACTGGCTGCCATCTGCCCAGTACAGTTGAAAACGGGATTCATCCGTGAATAGCACACTTCTCCAGCATGCCAGTGGTCATCGAAGGTAAGCATTTTGTCCACTGAAGTCGGTTACGGCGCCGAACTGCAGTCAGGTCAAGACCCTGGTGAGGACGACGAGCATGCGGATGAGCTTCCCTGAGACGGTTTCTGACAGTTTGTGCAGAAATTCTTGGTTATGTAAACCTACAGTTTCATCAGCTGTCCGGGTGGATGGTCTCAGACGATCCCGCAGGTGAAGAAGCCGGATGTGGAGGTCCTGGGCTGGCATGGTTACACGTGGTCTGCGGTCGTGAAGCTGGTTGGACATACTGCCAAATTCTCTAAAACTACGTTGGAGGCGGCTTCTGGTTGAGAAATGAACATTAAATTATCTGGCAACAGCTCTGGTGGACATTCCTGCAGTGAACATGCCAATTGCACGCGCCCTCAAAACTTGAGACATCTGTGGCATTGTGTTGTGTGACAAAACTGCACATTTTAGAGTGGCCTTTCATTGTCCCCAGCACAAGGTGCACCTGTATAATGATCATGCTGTTTAATAAGCATCTTGATATGCCACACTTGTCAGGTGGATGGATTATCTTGGCAAAGGAGAAATGCTCACTAACGGGCTAACAAGCTTTTTGAGTATGGAACATTCATAGGATATTTTATTTCAACTCATTAAACATGGGACCTGCGTTTGTATTTTGTTCAGTATATATGGCCATGCTAGAATGGACAGAAGTATGGCACTTTCTTAACACAAATTTGATTGATTCTATTGAGAACTAATAGCATATATATGTTTATCAGTTCTGATTAGGCTTATATTTCCACTTGATCTGTTCAAGCATGGCCATCTAAAGACTAGCTGAAAATAGCTGTGAAAAACAACATAAGTGACTGATAAGAGTAGAGGGTTATACTACAAAGAAAGATCAATGAATTAGCCGGTTAACTTTATAATAATAATAATAATAATATAATATGCCATTTAGCAGACGCATACATTTTTACGTATGGGTGGTCCCGGGGATCGAACCCACTACCCTGGCGTTACAAGCGCCATACTCTACCAATTGAGCTACAATTGATAAACAACCAGAAATAATCATTGATTGTATGGTTCATTAAGAACGCTAAACCAAGATATGTGTTTTTGGTGGTTGAGCCAGTTAACCTTGAAAGGGCCATGGTCTATCTTTCTAAAATATAAACAATTATTTCAGAATATTAAGGCAAGTTAGCTAGCTAACTCCTTGATCCTACTTTGTAGTATACCCCTCTGGTGTTGAGATCCCCCCCCCCCCCAGTGGTTGATATGGTAATGACGTCTTGAGTTGATGGGCAGCTAAAGCATTTGACTCACCTTATTTTTTTATGGGCAGATATTGTGTCTGCTGTGTAGGTATCCAGCTGAATTTCCAACATCTCAGCTCTGTTGTGAAAAGACATAGTTAAGGAGACGTAAAATAGTCACGAAAACTGAACATTACTGATTCCTAACACAGTGAATTGCATTTGAAGGATCCCAGTGTACAGTAGGTGTGAACACAGGGGGGACTATCGCACCTGATCTTCTGCATTATGATCTCACATTTGGCCTCAAAGTACTCAATCTTTTTCCTGTCCAGCTCTTTCTGGGCTTTCAGCCTGTGGTCCAGGATCAGGGACTGGAGAATCTGGATGCACCCTAACAGCTCCTGGAGAGAGAACACGTCGATCGTGAGTGAAGATCGCAACATGTTAGAGTAATACATCAAACCATGTGGTGCGAGTCTCTTACAGAGAGGTAGCAGTGAGTCTGCCTTTGCAGCAGGGCGGCACTCTCACGGCTCTTCTCCTTCAGACTCTCTGCTCTTTTCCTTTCGCTCTCCAGGAGGCCAGACAAGCGAGACAGCTTCATGTTCTTCAGCCCTTCACTTTCGTTCTCTGCCCAAGAAAGAAAGGAGTGGTATGTTTCACCATTCACACACATACAGGTGAGCTGCTATGCCATAAAGCCAAATACTGCCACATTATGCCATAAAGCTAAATAAATACTACCACATTTGCTGACTGTCAGTGTCCATTACATAGTAAGACACACACAGTCAGAAGTAAGATCCTATATACACTGCTCAAAAAAATAAAGGGAACACTTAAACAACACAATGTAACTCCAAGTCAATCACACTTCTGTGAAATCAAACTGTCCACTTAGGAAGCAACACTGATTGACAATACATGTCACATGCTGTTGTGCAAATGGAATAGACAACAGGTGGAAATTATAGGCAATTAGCAAGACACCCCCAATAAAGGACTGGTTTTGCAGGTGGTGACCACAGACCACTTCTCAGTTCCTATGCTTCCTGGCTGATGTTTTGGTCACTTTTGAATGCTGCCGGTGCTTTCACTCTAGTGGTAGCATGAGACGGAGTCTACAACCCACACAAGTGGCTCAGGTAGTGCAGCTCATCCAGGATGGCACATCAATGCGAGCTGTGGCAAGAAGGTTTGCTGTGTCGGTCAGCGTAGTGTCCAGAGCATGGAGGCGCTACCAGGAGACATGCCAGTACATCAGGAGACGTGGAGGAGGCCGTAGGAGGGCAACAACCCAGCAGCAGGACTGCTACCTCCGCCTTTGTGCAAGGAGGAGCAGGAGGAGCACTGCCAGAGCCCTGCAAAATGACCTCCAGCAGGCCACAAATGTGCATGTGTCTGCGCAAACGGTCAGAAACAGACTCCATGAGGGTGGTATGAGGGCCCGACGTCCACAGGTGGGGGTTGTGCTTACAGCCCAACACCGTGCAGGACGTTTGGCATTTGCCAGAGAACACCAAGATTGGCAAATTCGCCACTGGCGCCCTGTGCTCTTCACAGATGAAAGCAGGTTCACACTGAGCACATGTGACAGACGTGACAGAGTCTGGAGACGCCGTGGAGAACGTTCTGCTGCCTGCAACATCCTCCAGCATGACCGGTTTGGCGGTGGGTCAGTCATGGTGTGGGGTGGCATTTCTTTGGGGGGCCACCATGTGCTCGCCAGAGGTAGCCTGACTGCCATTAGGTACCGAGATGAGATCCTCAGACCCCTTGTGAGACCATATGCTGGTGCGGTTGACCCTGGGTTCCTCCTAATGCAAGACAATGCTAGACCTCATGTGGCTGGAGTGTGTCAGCAGTTCCTGCAAGAGGAAGGCATTGATGCTATGGACTGGCCCGCCCGTTCCCCAGACCTGAATCCAATTGAGCACATCTGGGACATCATGTCTCGCTCCATCCACCAACGCCACGTTGCACCACAGACTGTCCAGGAGTTGGCGGATGCTTTAGTCCAGGTCTGGGAGGAGATCTCTCAGGAGACCATCCGCCACCTCATCAGGAGCATGCCCAGGCGTTGTAGGGAGGTCATACAGGCACGTGGAGGCCACACACACTACTGAGCCTCATTTTGACTTGTTTTAAGGACATTACATCAAAGTTGGATCAGCCTGTAGTGTGGTTTTCCACTTTAATTTTGAGGGTGACTCCAAATCCAATATTTTTTGTGTGATTTTGTTGTCAGCACATTTAACTATGTAAAGAAAAAAGTATTTAATAAGATTATTTCATTCATTCAGATCTAGGATGTGTTATTTTAGTGTTCCCTTTATTTTTTTGAGCAGTGTATATAAGCTACATATCTACGTTTTGGTAAAAATCTGGTGTCTCTTTACCCCATTCAGGCTGATAGTAGGAGAGGATGATGAAACATTTCTTCTTTAGATGCTTTTCTAGTTCTCTAGGCAGTCGCTGTTTCATTTTCCACACATCCTGTTTAGAGAAACATGAATAAGTCCAAGAAAATAGTTCATAAAACATATTTAGTCTGTGAGTGGGAGCAGTTACCAAAGATGTAGAGAAGCAGCATGTGTGTGATAGTGTACCTAAATAGGAAAAGCACTAGCTCTCTCTGCTCTAGCCATTAACTGTCCCTCTCCATCTTCGGAGGATGCAGCTTTCAAAGACTTGGCCTCTATAGGTTGACCTTTCATGATATATTGCTTGTTTGTTGCTTGCTCTTGAAGCGCTTTGAGATTCTATGAAAGAGCTATAAAAAATATAACAAATAATTATTAATAGAGTTTAAGTATCAGCCTCACGGACAAAGAGTACCTACCTGCTCTTGTGGCATCAGCTCGAGCACCTGTTGGGCACTCAGTCCTAGAACAGGGGGTTGGTCTTGGCTGGTGGTGGCACTAGGGTCCAGCTGCCTGACACACTGGGCCACCACCAGACACTGCTCCACAGTCTTATAGAACTACCAGGGGAAAACCAGAATTAGGTTTATTCTAAGATTATACAGTACCTTGAAGGATCAATTTCAACAAAAGTAACATTTCGGAAATCAAATTCACACTGGGTGTTTAAACTACATAAATAATGAACTACTTAGTTATATCTACACCTACAGTATATATATATAATTTTGCATTAATGGGTTTTAGCTAAAGAAGGGATCATACTACTACAGTAAGTGTACTGTGTGCTGCTCTGCAAGACACGCAACAAGAACAGAGCAGACTAGAGTTCTGTATAGTAGAGTCCATTGAGCAATGAGTATTGTTCTGTATTGTACCGTGTCATCCTCTGGGGCTACAGTGGAGTGATGCTTTCTGACACAGTTCTCCTGGATCATCTCCTGCAGTAGCCTGTACATGCTCTCTGAGCGCAGCCAGCTAAGCCTCTGTGTCTGCAGGTCCCTCTCAGCCTGGATTTAAACAACATAATCTCAGCCATTTAAAGCCATTCACATAACATGCACCCTCACACAGAGTAGTCCTAAGTCTAAAACATGGTCTTAAATAGAAACAACGACTCCGTGGCAGCTCAAATGACAACAGCTCCAGTACAGTGTAATAACACAACAGTCTAATTTCTCACAGTAGTAGAACTGCAATTGTATTATTATGAGAGGGACAATTTAATACTCTTAGATGTACCAGCATGTTTAAATGTGAGCCTGAGCCAAGCACTTGTTTAATTCTTACAATATGTCTTGAGATACTAAGGTTTGGAGCACTTATTGATGATAAGTTGTGTGTCTGTGTGTTGTACCTTCTCCAGCTCTCTCTTCATTGTGACAGTAAGGCCAGTGAGGTCCACATGCTGTGACAGCGTTGCCAGGAGTTTGCAGAATAGAGGATTCTGGGTCAGGTCTTCTTCTGTCAGCTGACACAGTGGGAATGAGGCAAGGACTGAAATACAAAGTTGTTACTGGTTACAGGTGAAAACATTCATAATGATTATGGTTTGATACCTCCAGGACGACACTACCAGACTTCTCAAAAATTACCTAAACAAAAAGTATTGACTCGACAGCTAGAAAGTGGGCAATAGACACTGTCGTGTGTTAATTTAGTTACTAACAATGATGTGGACATCAGAAATAACATAACACATAGCTATGCCACTTTACATTTACATTTTAGTCATTTAGCAGGCGCTCTTATCCAGAGCGACTTACAGTTAGTGAGTGCTTTCAATGTGTTATTGCAGTCTGATTGAAAGATGGAATACCTTGTTGATGCAAGTCGTCTCCTTTTCCCAGTGATGAACACTGGCAGAATCATCATGCGTGGACATCATCACTTGACCAAAGACCCCTCCTCACCTGACATACAAAGACGCTCCTGGACAAACGTAACACGCTACCGTTATCAAAAGTACACAAAACTAGCCTAGCAAGCCCTAGCTAGCTAACTTAGCTAGCTGTCTTATGTTGATAACGTTAGCTAGACGTAATCTGTTTCATTGCAACACAACAGAAGATAGCTACTGTTAATCAGATTGTAACGGTTGTTTACACAAGGTGTATCACAACATATTGACAAAACAAACCAAAATCGTTAGCCAACAAACAACTGACTGAGCTAAGCTAAGCTAAGCTAGCGACTTCCTTCTCCAGCTCCCGCGCGTCTGTGCAAACAGTCATCTGATTGGGTAAAACCGGAAGGCAAATCATTACAGCAGCCCACGGTTTTTATAATACATCAGTGCAGCCAACCCACCTCTGGTTACGTTCATATATACCTCACTGGTTACATCTTCTTTCCAGAACAGATACAGAAACATGGCACATTGTTAAATCTCAAATCACATGTGGATTAGTTTGGCTCATTCAGTTATCACCCATTATGTACTATATCACCCATGAACTTCATGAAGTGATAGCTCTAAAGCCGGCAGATAGCGATATTGAGTCGTTTCATCTCTCCGGCAGATGACGATATTGAGTCGTTTCATATTCGACTCATTATCGCCATCTGCTGGCCTTTGGGCTACTGAGGTGATACATTTGTACCAGCAATTTTAGTTCTGTCACTGAGCTGGCCTGACACTAGCCTACTCCTTGACCTATTGAAGCTGTTGGTTGGAAGAATCCAGTGACAATATAACAATAATAGCAACACATTTTACAGTACCATATTTGATCATCATAAACATAAGCACATAACAAAATAATTCATTACATTTACATTTACAACATTTAGCAGAAGCTCTTATCCAGAGCGACTTACAAATTGGTGCATTCAATTTATGATAGCCAGTGGGACAACCACTTTTTTTCTTCTTTTTTTTTGATGGGGGGGTTAGAAGGATTACTTTATACTATTCTAGGTATTCCTTAAAGAGGTAGGGTTTCAAGTGTCTCTGGAAGGTGTGTGCATTGATGTTGCAGACAAACAGACAGAAAGCAAAATATTTATTTTCACAACAGCAAATATACTGGTAGGCATAATTCAGATTATTTCTCATGCAAAAACTATTGCAACATATGGAATTAGGAGCTATCTTTAAAACATTGTGGCCACTCATTCATATCCCCATGCTTTTGCATTTTAGCTGGTGTAATTAATGTATAATGATGTAACACCTGATGTAACAATAACAATAACTTTCCAGGATTGATATAACCATTCTCACAAGAGCATACATCTACTTCAGATTATGTCTCATGTCATGCATAAATCATTGCAACATATTATGGAGTTAGGGGCTATGAGTAAAGCCTTGCTATTGTGGTAATTCCAGTCCACACACTTGCAATTAAGCTGATGTAACTAATGTACAATTTACCTGATGTAACAACTAACTTTGATTACCTTAGGCGTACTCCTTTATACCGTCTATGGCTTACTTACTGACTTTTTTTTTTTACACAGCTACAGCCAGATCATGTGGCTTTTGCTCAGATTGGTTAGTCACCACTTGCTTTGTAATAACATGGTAATTATCATGTATTACCACCGCTTTACCGTAATGTTTTACCGTTCACAATGTGGCACTAGTTTCAGTTCACTACTTCCCCTACACATGTATTAGGCTTGGGCCTACTGTATTATAGTAGAAACTAGATTACAGTGGTCCTGAACTTGGAAAATGCCCCCCAAAAGACAGACATTTCAATGCACCAACTACATTTCAATCTACGACATCTGCATTCACAATAATTGGGGTTTGACACATTGACAGGTAGCCTATCAGCATCGTATAGTAAAGCAAGAATCATGACGTTTACTTGGCCAAATTTGTGCAAATCAGCAGCGGCCAGCATGTTTGGTGCTGCCAATGAACGCCTTCCAACGAACTGCTGTCTGACCAATGAGAAGCCTCCACGATGGGGTAGAAGTGACGGTTTATAAACAGAGAGCGCCTTTCATTTAACGTCATTTTTCCGATTCACAATCATAAAATAGACGTATTTGAAGAACACAATCTGTGAAGCAAATACATTCTATTGAGATAGACCCCAAAAGAAGACTCCATCAAGTTTCTTTGTAAAGGTATGTGAATTAAACTTTATATGCTAAGAATGAAGATTCTCTTTTATATTAGAACGTCAGAGGGAGCCTGTTTTGGGGCCACTTTCCTGGTGGCTAGCTAACGTTAGCTAGTTAATAAGCAGGCTATCCAGAAATTAAATGTGGGGGGGAGTTATCTTACTTATAGCTAAACCATAGAGATTATTTTTACTACAATTACAATTACATTTACTGTTCAATATGTAACGTTATCTGTCTGTCGTCAACTAGTATGGTTGAAAATGGTTAACCAGCTAGCTAGTTAACGTTAGTTGTGCACGCCTTTGAAACCGGTGTCTCAAATTGATTATGGAACAACTAACTTCACCTTTTTGGTAATTCGATTTAGTGATTTAGCCGTTTTTATGTTTATTCATTTGGGCTAATTATAGGTAGTCTTGTGCTCCACCCAGTAGTGTTAGCATATGGGCTACCTTCAGTCTGTCCTAGGCGTCTTCGACATCTAACCAGGGTGCCAAATGGACTGATTCCGTTAGCTATATAAGAATGACAGGCCTACACCGTGTACTAAGTAATAATATTAATGGTGTCTTTACTTTTTATTTCACAGAACTTCAAGGTGAGTTGCGTGAACACAGAATAGAGATGAGGTTTCTGTGCGTAGTTCTGCTGGTCGCCGGCAGCGTGTTTGCCGATGACGACGACAAGAAGGAAAGCGTTGGGACAGTGGTTGGAATCGACTTGGGGACTACCTATTCCTGGTAAGCATTCATTTAGTAATGAATGGCGAATTAATCTTTAGTCTCATATGCTCAATAATTTGGCTAAATGAATAGCATATCATGTCTTAAAGTGATGTGGTTGATACTTTCCATGCTTAACGCTCATCCATACGCTTATCCTTTCCAGTGTTGGTGTGTTCAAGAATGGCCGTGTTGAGATCATTGCAAACGACCAGGGAAACCGCATCACCCCATCGTATGTGGCCTTCACCGCTGAGGGGGAGCGTCTGATCGGTGACGCCGCCAAGAACCAGCTCACCTCCAACCCGGAGAACACAGTCTTTGATGCCAAGAGACTGATTGGCCGAGCCTGGACTGATTCCGCTGTGCAGCATGACATCAAGTACTTCCCCTTCAAGGTGAGCCCGTACACACTCCTGCCTGATAGCCTGAACACTGTCACTATGCAAATCAATTAGTACTTATTCAGCATATAACTATGCTGAAGTGGTTCTGAAATTGTTTTTAGAGATGTTTAATAATAGCTACTTTAATCCACTAGGTTATCGAGAAGAAGAGCAAGCCCCATATTCAGGTGGACATTGGTGGTGGTCAGCTCAAGACCTTTGCTCCAGAGGAGATCTCTGCCATGGTTCTCACCAAGATGAAGGAAACCGCTGAGGCTTACCTGGGAAAGAAGGTCACACATGCTGTGGTCACTGTACCCGCCTACTTCAATGATGCCCAGCGCCAGGCCACCAAGGATGCTGGAGTCATCGCCGGCCTGAACGTCATGAGGATCATCAACGAGCCGTAAGTGTATCATCTTCACAATGAAGGAACTGAACTAACATTAGACTGACTAGACCAATATTGATTTAAATCACAGAAAATATTTGCCAAGACCATGCTGGTAACATCTGTTCCACTCTTTGTATGCCAGAACCGCAGCGGCCATCGCCTACGGCCTGGACAAGAAGGACGGTGAGAAGAACATCCTGGTGTTCGACCTGGGCGGCGGTACCTTCGACGTGTCCCTCCTGACCATCGACAATGGTGTGTTTGAAGTGGTGGCCACCAATGGAGACACCCACCTGGGAGGAGAGGACTTTGACCAGCGTGTCATGGAGCACTTCATCAAGCTGTACAAGAAGAAGACCGGCAAGGACGTGCGCAAGGATAACCGTGCCGTACAGAAGCTGCGTCGTGAGGTGGAGAAGGCCAAGAGAGGCCTGTCTGCCCAGCACCAGGCTCGCATCGAGATCGAGTCCTTCTTCGATGGAGAGGACTTCTCAGAGACCCTGACCCGTGCCAAGTTTGAGGAGCTCAACATGGTGAGTTAGTCCTCATAGTGACATCACGTACCACAGTCAGACCCTGCTGGCCCATTGACCTTGGAATATCCAACTCAAATTATCACATTCATGTTCCACTTAGTTGAACCTCATTCATTTGTAATTTTATAATTTGTCTTTCAGGACCTGTTCCGTTCCACCATGAAGCCTGTGCAGAAGGTGATGGAGGACTCTGACCTGAAGAAGACCGACATTGACGAGATCGTCCTGGTGGGCGGCTCCACTCGTATCCCCAAGGTCCAGCAGCTGGTGAAAGAGTTCTTCAACGGCAAGGAGCCCTCCAGGGGCATCAACCCTGACGAGGCTGTGGCCTACGGCGCTGCCGTGCAGGCTGGAGTGCTGTCTGGAGAGGAGGACACAGGTTGGTCTTGGTCAATGTGCTCACGCCATGCACTTCATACACTATGCTCAGTTCAGGCTGAGGTATCTTCACATTTCATGAATTATTTTTACATAAGGAAATGTAGGCTAGATGTGGGTCCAAATATGTATATCATAGCAGTTACATTTTCTATCACAACTAATGGTTTACTGTCTTGTCCATCAGGTGACCTCGTTCTTCTTGATGTGTGTCCCCTGACCCTGGGTATTGAGACTGTGGGAGGAGTCATGACCAAGCTGATCCCCAGAAACACTGTGGTGCCAACCAAGAAGTCCCAGATCTTCTCCACTGCCTCCGACAACCAGCCCACCGTCACCATCAAAGTTTACGAGGGTAAGCGCCTTTGATTCATCACTGCCCCTTGTAGCTGCATCCACAAATGATGCCGTGGCATTTTACACAACTTTGGATCTGGTTCTAATTTTCTACTTCCCTCTTCCTCCAGGTGAGCGTCCCCTGACCAAAGACAACCACCTGCTGGGAACCTTCGACCTGACTGGCATCCCCCCCGCACCCCGAGGTGTGCCCCAGATCGAGGTCACCTTCGAGATTGATGTCAACGGTATCCTGCGCGTCACAGCCGAGGACAAGGGAACGGGCAACAAGAACAAGATCACCATCACCAACGACCAGAACCGTCTGACGCCTGAGGACATCGAGCGCATGGTCAACGACGCCGAGCGCTTTGCCGACGAGGACAAGAAGTTGAAGGAGCGCATTGATTCCCGCAATGAGCTTGAAAGTTACGCCTACTCGCTCAAGAATCAGATCGGTGACAAGGAGAAGCTGGGTGGCAAGCTCTCTGCCGAGGACAAGGAAGCCATAGAGAAAGCAGTAGAGGAGAAGATTGAGTGGATGGAGTCTCACCAAGACGCTGAGCTGGAGGACTTCCAGGCCAAGAAAAAGGAGCTGGAAGAGGTGGTGCAGCCCATCGTCAGCAAGCTTTACGGAAGTGCAGGCGGACCCCCTCCCGAGGGAGAGGCAGAGGCAGATCAGGATGAAAAGGACGAGTTGTAAGGCTGTCTGGACGGTCTCCACAGCCTACACTAGCAACTCTCTGGTTTCTGTTCTTCTATTGCCCCTCGCCTCTCTGGTAGTGGCACAGATGTACATATTGGACTCATTGGACTTAAATGGTGAGAGGAAAGGTGGGGTGTGAAACGCAACCATGATGAATCTGCTGGAAAGACTTCTGAATATTGTTTAGCAGTGTGAGAGATGTTCTCTTCGCTGTGTGGCGGAGGTATACTAGTCGCCTGGATTTGAGGCTCGCTGCTGTTCTCAGGCAGTTTGAAAAGGGGTTCTCTAGGGGAAGGGGTTAGTGGGGTGGGGGGGCTAGACAGGCTGGGGGGGGGTTCTGGGTGACAGGGTAACTGACATGTTAACAGGTTATTTATTGAATCTGGTCGTTGTAGAAAAGCCTTTCTACTGTTAAGACATTGAAATAATAAATGTTTGATACAAATGTCTTTTGATTTGCCTCTGATATTCATCTGCACCAATTTACACATGACTACAAACCTGTAACTGGGCAGAAGGTAGCCTAGTGGTTGGAGCGTTGGGCCAGCAATCAAAAGGTCTCTAGTTTGAATAACTGAGCCGACAAGGTGAAAAGTCTGTGCCCCTGAGCAAGGCAGTTACATCTAATTGATAATGGCAGGTCCTGGGTGTGACCCCTCTGAGGGTGAGTGTGTTGGGATATGCAAAAACCACATTTCTAATTCGCACTTGTGTGGTTTTACACACTTGTACATGTGTGAAATAGGACATACGCACCCACCATATTTGTAACTGTCCATAACTAACGTTGGCTGTGTGCAGCAGGTGGCTGTCCATCGCCTCAGACCACAGAACATCTGTCATCTTCTGTTAATTCCCCCCCCCCAAAAAAACGTTTTTGTGTATTTTTTATTTAATTTTTTATTGAATTGCCACCGCTCGTGGACACCCAGCAGGTGTTTACTGCTTAATTTTATATCCTAGCAATGCAACATGGCGATCTTGCATCAAGTTATGAGTTGCAGGGCTTCACACGTCTGCGCATTTTGCATAGCTACTTGCAGTTCTTCCGTACGTACGTAGGGTATAACTAAGCTTTACTCCTAGCACTGAACCAACATCTGTGATCATGTCATTGGACGTGCAGCTTATGATTAGGGTTGGATGTTTAAAGAGCGACTGCCTTTTAAAAGCAACCAAAGCAACGAATCCCTATGAAAACTGCCTATGACATCGGAGTCAGTTATTCTAGTGTCAAAATTGACTACAGTGTAAATATAATGATTTGTCAAACAGTTTGGAACATCAGTGTGTAAATTGAGGTTGAGTTTTTATTTGAAGATGTACATTTGCCCACTAACATTGGGTGAAGGCTCTATTCAATAGCATAGACAGTGAGACTGACCTGCCCGACTTTGTTTACGTAAGACAACACATCACACACTTTTTTTTGGAGAAATACTGCACCAAACACCTTTGGATGTAAAATTGTGCAACTAAAACATCCTCGGCAAAAATGTATTACAGATTTGAGTAAGTGAAATAGGCTTTCGCGTCTAAAACCTCATTAACCAAACGTGGAATTGACCAGGAAACACACCTCAAATACTCATCTCATTTTTCTAATGCAACAGAAAAACAAGTGCCAATCAGTGTGTTCAGTGGCTCTTTAGAAAAAGGTGGGAATGTTGAATGAAGGACTAAGTTAAGCAAAATCATTTATTTGCCATTCAATACTTACACAATATTTCAACATACACATAGCATTTCCCAGAGCAGTAGCTATCAAGGTCATGTTAGGACTGTTACAACACAGTCACTGTGTATGACCCTCTGAGTGTCCATCCCTCCAAACACAAAGGCCAGCTGTAGTGTCTCTGATGCTGAGGAGCTCTGGGCCTGGTCTCCCTCTCCACTGCTGCCCTCAGGCCTCACTCTCCAGGGAAGTACACAAAAGGAGTGGTCCAGTCTGTTGGGTGTCAGGTCCCCTTCAAACCGCCGCAGGGTCCAGTGCCTTTTGTCTGCACAGGATGGGAAGAGTTTAACAAAGTACTCAAGGTGCATCAGTATTACAAAACAGTATTGCTTTAAATAATGTATTATCTCTATATTGGATACATGAATCAATGACTTTACATTTGTGGCAATTATTACCTCAAAGTATGACCACATTCCAAAGTAGATATTTTTAGCCTCATCACACTGCAATCTGTACATTGCATTGCTGTCCCCTTCTGAGGTCACCCCTCCAAAGATGTAGATGTTCTTTCCCAGGGCTACAGCTGAGGGGGCAGCCACCCCGGGGGGATGTCACCTTTAGCTTTGACCTTCTCCCACTTCATACTGCCTAGAGAAAGTATAGCACCCAAATGCAGTAGTTAACAGGACCAGCCATACCACTTCTCATACCAACATAGAATTATACATTTCACTGGAATTATTTCAACAGAGGACACAATATAATAATACAACTACAGCAGGACCATGTGTATGTATGACTGTTGAATACTTACTGGTATCCAGAGAGTACATGTTGCTGTGGAACTTCTCTCCTGCCATGCCTCCATGGATATAGAGTTTGGAACACACCGCTGCCACCACGTGGCCGTGTCTAGCAGGAGGATGTCTGCCCTGTGTGTCTGGCTGAGACCAGGTGCAGGAAACTACAAAAGGAGACAGAGGAAAACACTACATACAGTGGGGAAAAAAGTATTTAGTCAGCCACCAATTGTGCAAGTTCTCCCACTTAAAAAGATGAGAGAGGCCTGTAATTTTCATCATAGGTACACGTCAACTATGACAGACAAATTGAGAATTTTTTTTCCAGAAAATCACATTGTAGGATTTTTAATGAATTTATTAGCAAATTATGGTAATAAACTGGTCCTGAACATCTCTAAAACTACGAGCATTGTATTTGGTACAAATAATTTCCTAAATTCTAGACCTCAGCTGAATCTGGTTGAGGAGACTAAATTACTTTACCTTAGATTGTAAACTGTCATGGTCAAAATATATAGATTCAATGGTTGTAAAGATGGGGAAATAATAAAGAGATGCTTTGCTTTCTTGACACTCAACAAAGCAAGTCCTGCAGGCTCTAGTTCTATCTTATCTTATCTTGATTATTGTCCAGTCATATGGTCAAGTGCTGCAAAGAAAGACCTAGTTAAGTTGCAGCTGGCCCAGAACAGAGCAGCACGTCTTGCTCTTCATCGTAATGAGAGGGCTAATATTAATACTATGCATGACCGTTTCTCTTGGCTAAGAGTTGAGGAAAGACTGACGCATCACTTCTTGTTTTTATCAGAAACATTAATGTGTTGGATATTCCAAATTGTTTGCATAGTCAACTTACACACAGCACTGACACACACTTTCCCCATCAGACTTGCCACCAGGGGTCTTTTTTACAGTCCCCAGGTCCAGAACAAATTCAAGGAAACGTACAGTAAAAAAACGAATAAAGCAACACGGGCACAACACATTGCCCCCATGTGACCTACTTGTTGTGTGTATGTACTGACAGGTATGTGTAACTGATAGATGCACACACACACACACTACCTGTTAATGTTTTTAAATGTATGTAAATTGTAAAGTGTTCTGTCTGTAATGTATTTTTCGTTATGTGTCGGACCGCTGTCGCCATTGGCGTCAGCTAATGGGGATCCTAATAAAGCAAATAAAACATTTTATTAAAATCAGACTATACAAATCTCCATACCTGTGAGTTGTAGGTTCTGGACACAGTTGCGATTGCCACTCTGCTGTGCCCCAGCAAACAACCACATGCTCTGTGGACAGCTCTCAGGGACAAAGCTGCAGTGTTCATACCGTGCCACCAGACCCCCTCACTCAGGAATGTCCCACTAGTGACTGTCTGATAGGGTAAGAGAGACAAACATGGAACTGTCAATCAAAGAGTATATCAGAACAGATTGACGTGATTGGTAAGATGAGAAGTTGACTCACTGACATGAAATAAAACATTCAAATGATATGAAACACAATAAAGACAGGTGCGAGACATAATATTGTGTTGATGTGACATTTCGTTTTTTACCCAGGTTTATGACGTGGGATTCTGAAAAGCTACCATTAGGGTTGGCTCCTCCTACAATCAGGACCTTCCCCTTGCCTCCATTCTCAGAGGGGATATACAGTATGTACAGGTGTGGCCCACATTAACCCCTGGACCTCCTCCTCTGGGTATCAGAGCATACCTAGGGATAGAGAGAGGAAAATAATAAATAACATGTAAATAAAATACAATTGTATTGGTCACCTACACATATTTAGCAGATGTTATTGCAGGTGTAGCGAAATGCTTGTGTTCCTAGCTCCAGCAGTGCTGTAATATCTAACAATTCACAACAATACACACAGATCTAAAAGTAAAATAATGGAATTAAGAAATATATAAAAATTAGGACGAGCAATGTCGGAGTCCGTAGTATATATATATACAAACACTGCATTCCACAGTAAGAACATTATACCAAAGGTCAAGCATGGTGGTGGTGGTGTGATGGTTTGGGGATGCTTTGCTGCCTCAGGACCTGGACGACTTGCCTTAATAGAAGGAACCATGAATTCTGCTCTGTATCAGAGAATTCTACAGGAGAATGTCAGACCATCCGTCTGTGAGCAGAAGCTGGAGCGCAGCTGGCTCATGCAGCAAGACAATGATCCAAAACACACAATCAAGTCTACATGAAAATTGCTAAAAAGCAACAAATTTGAAGTTTTGGAATGGCCTAGTCAAAGTCTAGACCTAATCCCAATTGAGATGTTGTGGCAGGACTTGAAACGAGCAGTTCATGCTTGAAAACCCACACGTCACTGAGTTAAAGCAGGTCTGCATGGAAGAGCGGGCCAAAATTCCACCACAGCGACGTGAGAGACTGATCAACAACTACAGGAGTCATTGCAGCTAAAGGTGGCACAACCAGTTATTGAGTGTAAGGGGGCAATTACTTTTTCACACAGGGGAATTGGGTGTTGCGTAACTTTGTTTATGAAATAAATGAAATAAATATGTAATTGTTGTATTATTTGTTCACTTATGTTCCCTTTATCTAATATTAGGTTGTGATTGAAGATCTGATAACATTAAGTATCACAAATATGCAAAAGTAGAGAAAATTAGAAAGGGGGCAAATACTTTTTCATAGCACTGTATATACACAGTACCAGTCAAAAGTTAATTGAAATGCATTCCAGGTGACTACCTCATGAAGCTGGTTGAGAGATTGCAAAGAGTGTGAAAAGCTGTCATCAAGGCAAAGGTTGGCTATTTGAAGAATCTCAAATATAAAATATATTTGGATTTGTTTAACACTTTTTTGGTTACTACATGATTCCATATGTGTTATTTCATAGGTTTGATGTCTTCACTATTATTGTACAATGTAGAAAATAGTAAAAATAAAGAAAAATCCTTGAATGAGTAGGTGTTTCCAAACTTTTGACTGGTACTGTATGTATATATATATATATATATATATATATATATATATGTGTGTGTGTTTGTGTGATGGGATGTATAGACATTATAGTATGTGGATAGAATATTTAGTATATCTGTAGAATACTGTCACGATCGTCAAAAGGAGCGGACCAATGCGCAGCGTTGCGAGTGAACATGATGACTTTATTTAATAAAGTGCAACACGAGAAAACAAAACAAAAGACGATACGTGAAGTCCAAAAGTTACCAATACTGAAACACGGAACATGGAACAAGGAAACAAAAACCCACAAACACAAGGTGAAACCACACAGTTTAAATATGGCTCCCAATCAGAGATAACGAGCCGACAGCTGTCACTCGTTACCTCCGATTGGGAGTCACATGAATACAAACAAGGAAGACAACCACCTAGACACCCCAACCAAACAGCACACAACAAAACGAACACACCTCATACCCAACCTAGCCCACACAACACCCAACAAAACAAACACACCCTGGTTCTATAACAACGTCCCGGAACCAGAGCGTGACAGTACCCCCCCCTAAAGGTGCGAACCCCGGGCGCACCAGCATACAGTCTAGGGGAGGGTCTGGGTGGGCGTCTGTCCACGGTGGCGGTTCTGCCCCTGGTCGTGGTCCCCATCCCACCTTAGTCACCACCCGCTTCCCTAGCCTCCTCCACATTACCACCCCCCAACTACACCCCACTGGGTTAAGGGGCGGCACCGGACTAAGGGGCAGCACCGGACTACGGGGCAGTACCGGACTAAGGGGCAGTACCGGACTAAGGGGCAGTACCAGGCTAAGGGGCAGTACCGGACTAAGGGGCAGTACCGGACAGAATGGCGGATACTGGCTGGACGGCTTTGGCGGCTCCCGGCTGGACGGCTCTGGCGGATCCCGGCTGGTCGGCTCTGGCGGATCCCGGCTGGACGGCTCTGGCGGATCCCGGCTGGACGGCTCTGGCGGATCCCGCTGGACGGCTCTGGCGGATCCCGGCTGGACGGCTCTGGCGGACCCGGCTGGAGGCTTGGCGGGGTCCCGTGGACGGCCTGCGGATCCCCCTGGCGCTCTGGCGGGTCCCGGGGAACGGGGTTGGGGATCCCCGGTAGAGGTATGGCGGGGACGGATCTGGGCTGCTCCTGGCTGGGTGACTGATTGGCGTCATGGCAGCTGAGGATCTGGCTGCTCTGGGTAGTGGGGGATCTGGCTGCTTTGGCTGGCTGACGGATCTGGCTGCTCATGCTGGGTGAGGATTTGGTGCTCATGGCTGTGACGGGTTGGCTGCTCATGGGGTAGTGCGGGGCGGTGCCCTGGTGGGTGCGGATTGGCTGCTCTTGGGTGGCGACGGCTGGGGCTCATGGCTAGCTGACGGGTCGGTGCCCGGGGTGGGTGACGGATCGGCTGTCATGGTGGTGACGGATCTGGCTGCTCGGCTGGCTGACGGGTCTGGCTGTCTACTGGTGACGGATCTGGCCCGCTCATGCTGGCTGACGGATCTGGCTGCTCATGGCTAGCTGACGGATCTGGCTGCTCATGGCTAGCTGACGGATCTGGCTGCTCCTGTCTGGCAGAAGGCTCTGGCTGATCCTGTCTGGCAGAAGGCTCTGGCTGATCCTGTCTGGCGGAAGGCTCTGGCTGATCCTGTCTGGCAGAAGGCTCTGGCTGATCCTGTCTGGCAGAAGGCTCTGGCTGATCATGTCTGGCGGAAGGCTCTGGCTGATCCTGTCTGGCGGAAGGCTCTGGCTGATCCCATCTGGCGGAAGGCTTTAGCTGATCCTGTCTGGCGGAAGGCTCTGGCTGATCCCGTCTGGCGGTAGGCTCTGGCTGATCCTGTCTGGCGGAAGGCTCTGGTTGATCCTGTCTGGCGGAAGGCTCTGGCTGATCCTGTCTGGCGGGAGGCTCTGGCTGATCCTGTCTGGCGGAAGGCTTTAGCGGCTCCTGTCTGGCGGAAGGCTTTAGCGGCTCTGGTCTGGCGGACGGCTCTGAAGGCTCATGGCAGACGGGCGGCTTAGCAGGCTCAGTACATACGGGCCGTTCATGCAGCGCTTGGCATACGGACAGTTCAGACGGCGTTGGGCAGACGGGCAGTTCAGGCAGTGCTTGGCAGACGGACAGTTCAGACGGCGTTGGGCAGACGGGCAGTTCATGCAGTGCTTGGCAGACGGACAGTTCAGACGGCGTTGGGCAGACGGACAGTTCAGGCCCCGTTGGGCAGACGGCAGACTCTGGCCGTCTGAGGCGCATCGTAGGCCTGGTGCGTGGTGCCGGAACAGGAGGTACCGGGCTGAGGACACGCATCTCAGGGCTAGTGCGGGGAGAAGCAACAGGGCATGCTTGGCCCTGGGGACGCACCGTAGGCCTGATGCGTGGTGCCGGAACTGGAGGTACCGGGCTGAGGACACGCATCTCAGGGCTAGTGCGGAGAGCAACAACAGGACGCACAGGACTCTGGGGACACACAGGAGGCTTGGTGCGTGGTGGAGGCACTGGTGGTACTGGGCTGGAGCGGGGAGGTGGCACCGGAAATACCGAACCGTGCAGGCGTACTGGCTCCCTTGAGCACTGAGCCTGCCCAACCTTACCTGGTTGTATGCTCCCCGTCGCCCGACCAGTACGGGAAGGAGGAATAACCCGCACCGGGCTATGTAGGCGAACCGGGGAAACCATGCGTAAGGCTGGTGCCATGTATGCTGGCCCGAGGAGACGCACTGGTGGCCTGCTGCGTGGGACCGGCTTCATGACATCCGGCTCAACGCTCAATCTAGCCCGGCCAATACGAGGAGCTGGAATGTACCGCACCGGGCTATGCCTGCGTACAGGAGACACCATGCGCTCTACTGCGTAACATGGTGTCTGCCCGTACTCCCGCTCTCCACGGTAAGTACAGGGAGTAGGCGCAGGTCTCCTACCTGACTTCGCCACACTCCCTTTTTGCCCCCCCCCAAGAAATTCTTGGGTAGTACCCACGGGCTTCCAGCCTCGACTCCGCGCTGCCTCCTCGTACCACCTCCTCTCGGCTGCAGCTGCCTCCAGCTCTTCACGAGGGCGGCGATATTCTCCCGGTTGTGCCCAAGGACCCTTTCCATCCAAAATCTCCTCCCATGTCCATGAATCCTTAGGAGGAGTCCATAACTCCTGTGTAGGTAGGTCCTGTTGCCGCTTGTTACGCTGCTTGGTCCTTTTATGGTGGGTTTTTCTGTCACGATCGTCAAAAGGAGCGGACCAATGCGCAGCGTTGCGAGTGAACATGATGACTTTATTTAATAAAGTGCAACACGAGAAAACAAAACAAAAGACGATACGTGAAGTCCAAAAGTTACCAATACTGAAACACGGAACATGGAACAAGGAAACAAAAACCCACAAACACAAGGTGAAACCACACAGTTTAAATATGGCTCCCAATCAGAGATAACGAGCCGACAGCTGTCACTCGTTACCTCCGATTGGGAGTCACATGAATACAAACAAGGAAGACAACCACCTAGACACCCCAACCAAACAGCACACAACAAAACGAACACACCTCATACCCAACCTAGCCCACACAACACCCAACAAAACAAACACACCCTGGTTCTATAACAACGTCCCGGAACCAGAGCGTGACAAATACATAGGATAGAACAGCATATATACAGCAATAGCTGAATAGGATGGCATTGACTAGAATAGAATATATACATTTACATTTACATTTACGTCATTTAGCAGACGCTCTTATCCAGAGCGACTTACAGTTAGTGATTACATATTTTTTTTATTTTTTATACTGGCCCCCTGTGGGAATCGAACCCACCACATATGAAATTAGTAAAAACAGTATGTAAACATTTTTTAAAGTGACCAGTGTTCCACTATTAAAGTGTCCAGTGATTCCATGTCTATGTACAGTGCATTCTGAAAATATTCAGACCCCTTCCCCTTTTCTACATTTTGTTAAGTTACAGCATTATTCTAAAATTGATTAAATTATTTTTTTCCCCTCATCAATCTACATACAATACCCATAATGACAAAGTGAAAACAGGTTTTTATATATTTTTTCAAATGTATTCAAAATAAAAAACAGATATACCTTATTTACATAAGAATTCAGACCATTTGCTATGAGACTCGAAATTGAGCTCAGGTGCATCCTGTTTCCATTGATCATCCTTGAGATGTTTGTACAACTTTGATTGAAGTCCACCTGTGGTAAATTCAATTGATTGGGCATGATTTGGAAAGGAACACACCTGTCTATATAAGGTCTCACAGTTGACAGTGCATGTCAGAGCAAAAACCAAGCCATGAGGTCGAAGGAATTGTCCGTAGAGCTCCGAGTCAGGATTGTGTTGAGGCAAAGATCTGGGGAAGGGTACCAAAAACTTTCTGCAGCATTGAAGGTCCCCAAGAACACAGTGGCTTCCATCATTCTTAAATAGAAGAACTTTGGAACCACCAAGACTCTTCCTAGAGCTGCGCTCCCGGCCAAACTGTGCAATCGAGGGAGAAGGGCCTTGGTCAGGAAGGTGACCAAGAACCCGATGGTCACTCTGACAGAGCTCTAGAGTTCCTCTGTGGAGATGGGAGAACTTTCCAGAAGGACAACCATCTCTGCAGCACTTCGCCAATCAGGCCTTTATGGAAGAGTGGCCAGACAGAAGCCACTCCTCAGTAAAAGGCACATAACAGCCCGCTTGGAGTTAGCCAAAAGGCACCTAAAGGACTCTCAGACCATGAGAAATAAGATTATCTGGTCTGATGAAACCAAGATTGAACTCTTTGGCCTGAATGCCAAGCATCACGTCTGGAGGAAACCTTGCACCATCCCTATGGTGAAGCACGATGGTGGCAGCATCATGCTGTGGGGATGTTTTTCAGAGGCAGGGACTGGGAGACTAGTCAGGATCGAGGGAAAGATGAACGGAGCAAAGTACAGAGAGATCCTTGATGAAAATCTGCTCCAGAGCGCTCAGGACCTCAGACTGGGGCGAAGGTTCACCTTCCAACAGGACAACAACCCTAAGCACTTAGCCAAGACTACACATGAGTGCCTTCGTGACAAGTTTCTGAATGTCCTTGAGTGGCCCAGCAAGAGCCCGGACTTGAACCCGATCGAACATCTCTGGAGAGACCAGAAAATAGCTGTGCAGCGACGCCCCCCATCCAACCTGACAGAGCTTGAGAGGATCTGCAGAGAAGAATGGGAGAAACTCCCCAAACACAGGTGTGCCAAGCTTGTAGCGTCATACCCAAGAAGATCCGAGGCTGTAATCGCTGCCAAAGGTGTTTCAACAAAGTACTGAGTAAAGGGTCTGAATACTTATGTAAATGTGATATTTCTGTTTTTAATTTTTAATACATTTGCAATAAAAAACAGTTTTTGCTTTGTCATTATGGGGTATTGATGAGGGAAAAAAATAATTGAATCAATTTTAGAATAAGGCTATAACGTATCAAAATGTGGAAAAAGTCAAGGGGTCTGAATACTTTCCAAATGCACTGTACATAGGGCAGCAGCCTCTAAGGTGCAGGGTTGAGTAACCGGGTGGTAGCTGGCTAGTGACATTGACTAAGTTCAGGGCAGGGTACTGGTTGGAGGCCGGCTAGTGATGGCTATTTAACAGTCTGATGGCCTTGAGATAGAAGCTGTTTTTCAGTTTCTCTGTCCCAGCTTTGATGCACCTGTACTGACCTCGCCTTCTGGATGATAGCGGGGTGAACAGGCCATGGTTCGGGTGGTTGATGTCCTTGATTATCTTTTTGGCCTTCCTGTGACATCGGGGGCTGTAGGTGTCCTGGAGGGCAGGCAGTGTGCCCCCGGTGAAGCGTTGGGCAGACCGCACCACCCTCTGGAGAACCCTGCGGTTGTGGGTGGTGCAGTTGCCGTACCAGGCGGTGATACAGCCCGACAGGAGGCTCTCAATGGTGCATCTGTTAAAGTTTGTGAGGGTCTTAGGGGCCAAGCCAAATTTCTTCAGCCTACTGAGGTTGAAGAGGCGCTGTTGCGCCTTCTTCACTACACTGTCTGTGTGGGTGGACCATTTCAGATTGTTAGTGATGTGTACGCCGAGGAACTTGGAAGCTGTTCAATTCTCCACTGCGGCCCTGTCGATGTCTCCTGAAGTCCACGATCAGCTCCTTCGTTTTGTTGACGTTGAGGGAGAGTTTATTTTCCTGGTACCACTCTGCCAGGGCCCTCACCTCCTGCCTGTAGGCTGTCTCATCATTGTTGGTAATCAGGCCTACTACTGTTGTGTCGTCTGCAAACTTGATGATTGAGTTGGAGGCGTGCGTGGCCACGCAGTCATGGGTGAACAGGGATTACAGGAGGGGGCTGAGCATGCACCCTTGTGGGGCTCC